GCCGACCCGAGCAAGACTCGGGCTCTTCGAGTTGTTGCGCAGTCCACGGAAAGCGTTAATCAAGGAGGACTTTCCGCTGCCAGAGATCCCTGCGATCGCAAAGTGGAAGATACCCTCTTCGTATTTAAGGCGCTTCTTCGTCGCCTCGAACTGCTCTTTGGTCGGGATGATGATGGGTTTGATTCCTTCACGCAACTTGCTTTGAACTTCCTCAAACGCTGCTCTCGCCTCTGCTGCCTGCCTATCTGCCGCTTGCCTCTCTAACTCTGCCTTCTCTTGCATGAAGCGAGCATTGGCCGCCTCCTCGTTCGCACGAATCCTGTCTTCATTCATCTTGGCGGAATCCTCTTCCGCTTTCTTTCGCACCTCTTCCGCGACTCCCCTAGCCTCTTCTGCCATCCGTCTGTCCTCTTCTGCTTGACGTTTCTCTTCTTCCGCCTTTCTCTTCTCCTCTTCAGCTCTCTTTGCGTCGTTCTCTGCCCTTTCCCTCGCGCTCTCAGCCGCTATCCTTTCATTCTCTATTCTCCTTGCATTTTCTTCGGCTTTCCGCCTTTCCTCCTCCGCTTGTGTTCTTTCACACTCTGCCATTCGACGAGCAGCATCGACCTCTTCTACGCGTCTCTGTTCATCTTGAATTCTCTGCTCTAGCTCTTCCATAACTGGGTTGGGAGCAATATTTCCCGATCTTGAGTCAGATCGGAGACCCTCTACGAGGCCGATAACCGCCCCTGTGAGGGCGGTGAGGGCAGTGACGACTGATACTACAACACCCATCGGTGATTTGAGCTGGGCGACGTCGCAGTTGAATGAGATTTACTTTAAATCTAGATATCCTAAAGCCGAACTCACCTAGGAGTGTAGGTAATGTTCTAGTTCATCGACGAGCGTGTGGATGCTCCCACCTTATAGATATCTGAGTAGAAGCTGTATTTGTCGACGCAGAGCAAGGTTCATACTGCGCGCACCATTGAATGTTTGCACAGTGGACGTACACAACAATCCAGGTGACTGATAAGACTTCACCCCAATGCTTCCATTTCAGCTGATACTACTCTTTTCGATAGCTGCAAAGTTCTAGCCGCTATTAAATGGACGTGTTGACGTCACCGAGCGTTCAAGACGTTGCAGATAGAAGTGAAGCGACTTCCTAATTGGATTGTGGTACATGCTATGTTGCTACGGCATGCTTAGCTTTGAAATTCAATGCTGTGAGTGATTGAACTTTATCACATATCCTGACTGGTGCTTCATTCATATCCAAGATTAAATACGGGTGCAAATGCGCGCTGGTTCGAGCAAGAACTGGTAGCATGTTGCGTAGCGATCATAGACGTAGTAGCATCTAGGACACCCGGGAAAATGTACCATATCGAGCGACCGGCCGCTTTGACATCTGCGTCCTTGGATCTAGTCTCGTCATTGAAATATTCCGGGAGTGTCGCGCAGGTTGTCTCATGCAGGTATTGGATATTCTACTTTAGTCTGACATTAGCATGAGACAACACCATAGGTACGAAAGTGACGAACCGCGAATTGTCCGTGTGACCTATCGTATTTACTCAATAGGTCCTCGTGAAGTACATGAATGATAACATGAGGATCGTGCGTGCAGATATATTGATTCACCAAAGTAATCTAGACCTCAGTCCCCGCCGCTGCGGAGCGCCTAGCCCTAGCTTCAGACAGCAGATCTCTGAGCAATTCCCACTCATCGATGTATTCGTTTTCCAACAATTATGTTCACCAAGACTTCCTTGTCGACTAGATACATTTTCTGCGGTGTCAGGTGAGCGGCCTCCAGGTTTCCTCGCGACGCTTGCATATGTTTCCTGGATGTACATCGTGCGTGCCCTTCGGTAGACTGAGTCCTCGGTCTCGTCAACCTCGCGGCTAAGATCGCTCTCCAAATTGCGTATGTGCTGTGTCGATTTGGAGCGCACGATGTACGCAGGGATGTTGAATCGCGCGCAATTTCTGAGGATCGCGATGTCTGTTGCCATGAAGCGGCTGTCGAAAAGGACAATGATGCAGTCGAAGATGTACAGACCCTGATCATTGAAATACTCATAGTCGGGGATATCCAAGGTGCCCGCTCCAGGCACGTCATACCAGACGAAGGGGTTGGCGTTATTGGGATCGGCATAGCGAGTGACTTTGCTCGTCGTCTCCGTTACCCCCACGAGTGCAAGGCTTGGGCTCTTCGAGTTGTTGCGCAACCCGCGAAACGCATTGATTAACGATGACTTTCCGCCGCCGGAGTTGCCTGCGATCGCGAAGTGGAAGATGCCCTCTTGATATTTAAGACGCTTCTTCGCTGCCTCGAATTGTTCCTTGGTCGGAATAATGATGGGTTTGATTCCTTCACGCAACTTCCTCTGAACCTCCTCGAACGCTGCTCTCGCCTCTGCCGCCTGCCGATCTGCCGCCTGCCTCTCCAACTCTGCCTTTTCTTGCATGAAGCGGGCGTTGGCTGCCTCCTCGTTCGCACGAATCTTGTCTTCATTCATTTTGGCGGAATCCTCTTCTGCTTTCTTTCGCACCTCTTCCGCGAAGTTTCTGGCCTCTTCCGCCACTCGTCTGTCCTCTTCTGCTTGATGTTTCTCTTCTTCCGCCCTCCTCCTCTCCTCGTTGGCTCTCTTCGCGTCGTCCTCCGCCTTCTCCCTCGCCTTCTCCGCTGCCATCCTGTCGTCCTCCACCCTTCTTGCATTCTCCTCAGCTTGTCGCCTTTCCTCCTCTGCCTGTGTCCTCTCGTATTCCGCCCTTCGACGAGCGGCCTCAGCCTCTTCTGCGCGTCTCTGTTCATCTCGAATTCGCTGCTCTAGCTCTTCCATGACCGGGTTGGGGACAATATTTCCTAACCTTGAGTCGGATATGAGCCCCTCTACGAGGCCGACAATAACTCTTGGGAGGGAAGTGAGGACCGATACTATATTACCCATGAATGTTTCTGAACAAGCTGAGATTTATCTCGGGCCTGAGTGTGACAAAGCCAAACTCACCTAGGACTATAAGCAATGTTCTAGTTCCTTGGTGAGCGCTTGGATGCTCTCACTTTATATATGAACGGGCGCCGCGTTTGTCGACAAGAACATTTCCTACTGCGCACAATCGAAACTTAGCACAATTTGGCCACTCCAAGAGAACCACAACGATCCAGGTAATGGAGAAGACTTACACTAACTTTTCCATTCTGCTTACGACATTCTGGAAATTTATCACCCACTGTAGTCAGCGGCGTACTGCGCAGAGACTACTAAAACAGCACCCGCGCTGAGATGCTCGCAGGCGAACACAATCCAGGAAACTCGTTTTTCATTTCTTGTTTTCTCGGGCTAATTCTCGCCGCTGAAGCCTTGCTGGGCATGCACGACGAGTCGAGAAGCCATCCTCATGGCCGATATGTGGCACGCCTCAATTTATTTGGTTGCGCTGAAACTATGGTCTTGTTGGGGCAGTTCGGAGTCTCTTCAACAGCCTGCCCGATTCAATGACACATTACGTGGGCAAGTACGTGAAATGACTGACAGTTTAACAAAGATTAGTCGTTTTGCGACCTCACTTCAGAATTGTGACAAGGGATAGCTCTCAGATGCATAACCGTGCAAACTGAACAAAGAATAGTCATTTTCAAGTGACGATTCTTCGACCAGTTTCGGGAAAGATATGAGAGTGGGCTTGAATTCGGTGCACCATCTTCAGAAAAAGATATGCAAGAGCACGATCTGGCGCTGGAGCTGGCATGTCTGGCCAAAACTGATAATGGATCGCACTCCGAAGAGCGTCTCTTGTTGATCCCGATCAATGCAGACTTACACTTAGCATTGTAGCTCAGAAGAGTCTCTGAGAGCATCTGGAGCTCCTTATGCAATATCGTGTACGACAGCAATTGGCCTCAGCTCGGTTCCGTACGACAGCAAAGCGAAAAGTCTGGTGCATGCGAGTAAGATGTAGTGCACTGGAGACAGAAGACGGTCAAATACGTACGATTTGCGAGCAGGTGGTACTATACGGGCGCGGAGCCGCATTACCATATGTTGCATGCTCCGAGCATGATCATGATCAGTGCATGGGACTGGTTCGCACATGTGCACATTATTGCGCAGCTGTAAATTTTCTTGAGCTCCCAAAGTCTCCGCGTCGGATAAGTTGATTGTTGGACCTGAGCATAGGTGGGGATTGGCCAGGTCCATTACATCACAACACAGGGCATGCAGCAGGGCTTCCATGATATGGGTGAAGTTGCTGAGTTGAAAAATTGTAACAATGTGTCAGCATCTGTCTACGATATGCAATCTGATATTAGTCGACAGGATTCACAGCGTCGCAAATACGATTAGATGAAGCTCAATGATGTGTTGAAGAAACAAGAAATCTACGATCCAAGATCATGTTTTTGAAGGGGCATCATCGGAACGATAGTTGCCACGCAAGATCATTACAGGTTTGTGTGGGTGCAGTCGGCGAGCAAGGGCTTATATCGGGGAGGAGAGCACCGCCAAAAAGGCAGTTTTCGCAAAACTTTCAGTTTCAAACCCATTTAAAAGTGCCTGAGGTATCCGAGCTCGCCAAACGTACAATATCAGATGTTAGCTATTCTATCTGCGCTACGAGCAATTAGTCAGGCTCGAGAACAGAAAGGCGGACTGCCGGTAGATCGTACAACCATCGATGCATGGCTCCGGTGCCGGCTATCGATTTACAATCAGAGACTCTCGCTTCCGCTCCTGCTGCCCCAGAGACTGTACCGAAGATAGCTTTGATACCACCCATCAGATCGATACTATGGTGGATTTTAGTACTGGGCCCATAATGACTGTCACAATGTCATACGACATACCACTATACCAGGTACATGTTGCGAAAGATATAATAATGCAATCGTAGAAGGAATTCAGCAGAATTCAGCAGAGTTCTGAAAGCTCCCTAACTGATGTGTATTATCCGAATTCTAATGTTCTCTGGGCTTTCCCTGGCTGCTAAGCGACACGCGTACGAGAAGCTGAGGACAAGGCGCTATCACATAGCCGTTGTGAGCTTCCATAATCCACGATGCAATTATATGGAATTCTGCACTAGAACCCATCAACGATGAATAGGGGAAAATAAGCGGCACTCGCACCCTTTCAGTCGGCTGTATTTATGCAGCGACTCTGACGGCCTGGTAGCACACACACACACCCCATCTACCAAAGCGACCAACTTTACGATGTCACCACCACACTCGCCGGTCGTGAAGGCCTTACAGTCTAGCGACGGCAATTCCATCTACGCTGAAGCCATTGGGGATCCCAAGAACCCGCCCATTGTCCTGATTCACGGATTTGGCCTCTCTGCAGCGGCACTAGACAAACTGTTCTTTGATGACCGTCTAGTAGAACGATTCTATCTTGTGAGCTGTCAAATTTTGAACAAAACTCTCATCGCTTACCTTACACTGAATTCAGGTTCGTTTCGACATGCGTGGCCATGGTCGAAGCGGCATGCCTGATAAAGCAGACGGGTACTTTTCCGAGCTCTATGCGAACGATTTCGCCACAGTCGCCAGCGCCTTCGGCTTAAAAAAGCCCATATATGTGGGATGGTGAGTTGATTGTCCCTTTAAGATGTTCAATCCGAGTGACAATGGAATGGAATCTAGGAGTTATGGAGGTATGTCCAAAGATAAAGAGGACGTATGGATTGCAGACTAACAGGTGTACTTCAGCGACGATTGCAGCAGATATTTGCGCACACTTACCTGAAGACACGCTTGCTGGCATTGTCTACATGGCGGGCTTGCCGTGGCTTAGCCTGGATATGTTGGGCGCCGTAGCAACCCCCATGGTCCTCGGACTCATTCCCGGCCTTACTTCGGCAACAGAGGTTGCACAAAATCGAGAGTCAAAGTTGGCCTTCATTGATTCCTTGTTCGCCCACCCGAACGAGGTCGACTACTACACCAAACTTGCATGGTTGGGTCTGACAGCGACGCAGTCTCCGACGGCGGCCCACTGCGTACTGTCTCGCAACCAAGATCCAACCCGACTGTTTGAGGCGGGTAACCGCGGGCTGCCACTGCTGGTGTTACATGGGGCAAATGACACACAGATAGTCGGTGAGCTAGTGGCGAAGCAGATGAAGCCGCACTTCAAGAGCATGGACGTTCGTATCATTGAAGGGGGCAGTCACGCCTTGCATTTCGACTTTCCAGATGATGTAGTGGAGGCGTTGTCGAGCTTCGCACAGAAGGTCTGTGGGAACTGAGTCAATTGAGAACTTGAGAACGTGTCGAGTTCATGATCCACGCGCATCATAGCATTCAAAACTTACGACTGGATTTTTGTATGGCAGAAGATGTTCTTATTACCAGCGATTCTTCCATTCGACGAAATAGTTGAGGAAACGTTGTACGCCGCCCTGGTAAACGCGATCAAGCTCAAACATGAGCCCGCTTTCTCAGCTCAGGTAGTAGAAAAGCCTAAAGATTGCCGCTATGTCGCAAGTCGTTGCGAAGGATGAATATAATCAGAGCCTGTGTCATTCAATGAGAAAAAATGATACACTCAATTGGTATGAATTACATAATCCAGCTTTCTTCGCACGTTTTCAACGCTATTCATCGAGTGAACCCAGATTCCCGATTTGATTAATGTCATTTTCCACTGGGAGTCAACCTCTGGTCCTCTGTCTCCTGTCTGAGGTTTTCCAGTGAATGCCATGAACGTACCTTAGTAACTGTCTCAAGTCGCAAACATCTCGACCCAAATATGCAACAGAGAAACTTTGTTCGCATGAACGAAAGCGCGGCCGTTCGTTATCCCCCACCCAAACATTGTTAGATATCCACAGCTGTCGTAGTCATTGGCCGTCAGTACGTGTCATTTTATCCGACCCTTAAATCACTCTCGAATTAGTACTATGGTCCGAATCTCAATTGCAGCACCGTTCAACTGGGCTTTGTAAACGAATGCTCAGGCTGACGCTGAATGAAGGCGAGTGACCGGCCTATCGACGCACGGTTGCCCGTCGGAATAACTCAATCAGATCCTGTCACCTACCCACTCTGGATACCAATCCAACGAAACAGTTGGTGGAGTTTCCAAATGGGCAGCTGTATATCGTCTCATGACCTACCTGAAGGCCACAGAGTCATCACGATTGTCCACAACCTGCTTGAATGGTTTCGACTGTCCATGTAAACTACGCCCTGCTGTCTCCCAACTTACCGAGGTCTCTATGTAGCTGCGAGTGTGTACATCCTCCTGCTTTCTGTTTCTGCATGAATAGCTGATGCGGATGATTCGACGCGACTCAAGACTGACGCTTGTGGAACAATGAGACCTCGTTTTCAAATTTCAAGGCCCTGTACATGTTGACCGATAGATGTATCTGATCTTAATGTTTGTGCGACATTCAGATGATCTTCGTTACTGGAACCATACAAAAATCTCAACAGTCGTAATCCACACTGAGTCTAACGAAGGTGTTATTGCTGATAGGATAGGGCCCAGTCCTCGGGTGTTAAAAGGAGCCCTAGATGACATTGTACCCGACATGAAAGATAGCATTACCTCAGATGCAGTTCTACAAAGCCATCATCTTGATATGGGCCAAGAACTGTAAGTCGCTCCAATCATGTGTCCAGCAAGTGACATCGCAACCTGAGCAGCTGGCTGTCTAGGACATTCTTCTCGCCGCATTTGGACCCCTTCGCGATAACATGCAGATAATCCGTCAACTTGTGACTTTGCGCGTCCGGAATCGCGGAACTCCCCAATCGCATACTCGCTGGAGATATAATCCTTCACCATGCGTACCAGTGAATGGTTTTTCTATCCTCATTGAGCGCCATGTCTGACGAAGAAGTGAAAGCCTCTCCAGTTGTATCTTTGAAATCTTTGAACGATGCAGAGCCTGCGGATCCTCGCCGTGTACTCCGCAAGCTCGATTGGCACCTCCTTCCGTTCATATCTTTGCTATACCTGCTGGCTTTCCTGTGAGTGCTCCTCCGTTCAACTGCCGTGTCCACTCACGGAATCAGACTTCAGTGATCGTACTAACATCGGTATCCAGCCCGTGTCATCATTCCCGCCCTAGCTGACCATCCCTTCATAGGAAATGCAAAGATAGCTGGTCTGACGGGGGACCTTGGGCTGACCGGTTTACAATTTAACCTATGTTCCGCATTATTCTTTGTTAGCATCTCCCCCCCCTCGTTGTGTTGTTATTGTGATTAACACTGTGTTTCTTCAGATACCTTATTGTACTCTGGTGATGCCCTCGTCCGTCACACACACACATCTCTGCGACATATTCTCACCAATGACGTTCCTAGCAACCTCGCGCTGAAATATTTTAAACCCTCACGATGGAGTGCGGAAGTTCGCAGCTTTCAGTTTTTTGGAGGCTCACGCAAATGCACACAGTACCGCTGATCATGTTTTGCTGGAGCATTATCTTGATTTGCATGGCATTCGTGAAGAACTATGCTGGGTTATTGATGTGCGCATCACCTTCATTCATCAAACATGGTCTTACGTTACTGGACAGCGTACGAATCTTCCTAGGAATTGCTGAGGTTAGAGATTATCATTTCGCACTCACTTGGTCGGGGTTGAGTGCTGAGTCCCCCGTAGGCAGGTCTGTTCCCTGGATTAACATTCTATGTGTGTCTCTGGTACCCTAGATCTGCACAAGCAGGTCGACTATCGATATACATGTCCGCTGCCACTGCTGCTGGTAAGTCATTGTTTTATGCCACTCGACTTTGTGTTCATCGAACCACTCAGGCGCGTTTGGAGGTATCTTGGCGTATGGTATTGAGAGGATGAACGGGTAAGCCGTCGAAACATTCCGTCTTGAAAAGTGCGCTAAATAACCATATCAGTATTGGCGGACTGGCGGGTTGGTCATGGATTGTGCGTCTACTGGCAGTCTGAACCGTGTGAGAACTGATTACTCGCTTGGATCTCAGTTCCTACTCGAAGGATTGTGTGCGTTCAGGGCATAGCATGCTTTCTTATGCTGATTATTCCTCTTAGTCACCGCTTTGGTTGCCATCGCGGCGTTCTTTTACATGCAAGATGTGTGTTCATTACTTCTCGAACCTGCCGTATTGGCCCTCGATGCTGATTCTCGTTGCAGTTCCCAGAAACTGCGACATTTCTGACACCAGCAGAGAGGGATTGGCTAGTGCAGACTCTGAAAGAAGACACCGCAGCTTCGTCAAAAGTCATCAAACGAGAATATCTCATCCAGGCGCTGAAGAATCCTCACGCTTACATCCTCGCTTGTATCGACTTCTTGTAAGTGCACCATCGTCGTTTCGTTCCACGGCTTTAAGGCACTAATTCCGCGCTGGAAAGCATCGTCGTGGCTTTCTATGCCTTTGCACTCTTCCTCCCAACAATCATAGTCGGACTGGGATACTCTTCCTTGCATGCACAACTGCTCACTGTCCCTCCAAATATTTGCGGCTGCATATTCACAGTTCTCTTTGGCACTATGTCGGACCGAGTTGGGATGCGCGGGCCTTTTGTCCTTCTCGGAGCTCTTCTATCGCTGGTCGGATATGTGATGTTGTTCACGACCACCTCTCCCATCGTGGGATACGTCGGCACACTCATCGCGGCATGTGGTTTGAATCCATCCTCCGCCTGTGCTATAGCATGGGTCGGCGGAAACTCTGGAGGCGACGTCAAGCGAGGCTCTATGATCGCTATAGTAAGCGGCATAGGGAATTCGGGAGCGTAAGGCCAGCTACTCCACGCTTACTTCTCATCTGATGTTCTTCATAGGATTGTGGCATCGTTTATCTATCGCTCGCAGGACAGTCCGCGCTACCATCCGGGCCACGCGACGAACATCGCGGCGTCATGCATCGTGTGAGTGGGCGTATCTACTTTCTGATGCTTCTCTCGGCCTCGCGGGACTAATCATGTATGACAGTGCTACCATGAGTATCGTCGCCATGTTCGAGTTCTCTCGCATGAACCGAGAGAAGCATGCGTATTGCGTCAGGGAAGGTATCGAAGCAGATCGTATTGAAGAATTCCACGAATTGGGAGACAAGTCTCCACTATATAGGTGGGCGCATCTTCCTGAAGACGTACATGACATTAGCTCACAATTGGACGACGTTGGTAAGGTACACACTATAGCAATGCGTCCACGTTGGTAAGAACATACGGCACTGGTTTCGTTGGAGAACATGCGGAATCGGAATTGACTGGTCATCGAGAAACGTTCAAAAAAGTCCAAAATGTAGTCTGTTTTACAGATGCCATTGAGCCCATGCAGTTAGTTGCGGTACAAGTATTACGGGTACGCTGACTAGTGGTACAAAAGGCTATAATCTACTGCATAAGGTAGGGAGATCGTCGTGCGGTCGTCATACATACGGGTAACATCTAAATATACATGTGCAGCAAACCAAGCAGGGAAAGCGTGGTAGCGACAGAGCAACCCGAGCAACGATCGTTCGGGCCATGGATATGTAACAGCAGACCTGTAAGTCACTCTTCGTCAGCGCGTGCTCAAAAATGCCACAAGGAAGCTCGCACATACCATTAATCGCAAGATTATAACCGCGCGAGACGTTCCTCACTAAATAAACCAACTTTCCGCCAGTACGACAGCCATCTCCTCACATCTTCTTCTCCGACCTGCGGCAGATTCGGGTCTGCAAGCGTCGGCGAAGCTCTCACCGCCTCAGCCGCATCCACGTCTGGGAAACCCAGCGCTGTGTGCGCAGGAAGGTACATGCGCCGCATGCCCTGGAACCACGGAATCACTTTGATCACCTTGAGGTTGCGCAGCTTCCTCTTCCTTTCGACTGGGTCTCGAGGCAACGCCGCGGCGGCCGCTTCGAGCCTCGTCATCCACTCGCCGTAAGACACGAGTGGGACGCCAAATTCCTGTGCGATGACACTCGCCAGACTATGCCAGGACGTGGGGTTTGGATGGACCAGGTGCACTGTGCGCGTCGCGTTCGACGCCTTGCGGAAATCGAGTATCGCCGCGGCTGCGTACTCGTATGGAATTAAGTTAATGGGCTACGGAGACGACTGATGAGCTTCTTTATGGGCACAGGACGAGTGCAACCTACTCGTGGGTCATCGGGATAGCACCGCAGCTGGGCGGCGCTCTGTACCATAATCGGGTACCACTCGTTTGCAGCCCACGCGCCGCTCTTGCCTCCTGAGGCCTGACCGACGCGTATGACCAGAGTGTTCAGCTCTGTGCATGCTGCTGCGTTGTATAAGACCTCCTCTGCTACCCACTTCGATTCTGTGTAACCGCTGGTTACAGCAGTCTCTGCTGGGACAGGACGCTCTAGCACGAGCAGCTCCCGGGGTGCGCCTGCGCCAGATACTGCGTCAGTAAGTTTTGTGTTCAGGTAGGATGAAGACTCACGTTGTAGCATCGCAGTCGAGCTGGTGAACAGAAGGCGTGGGGGCAGTTCGAGAGGCGTTGTGAGGGCGAAGTCGATCAGACTGCGTAGGCCCTCCACGAGGGGTTCAAAGGCCGAAAGTGGAGCGGCCATGTCGACGTGCCAGGCTGTTCCAACGAAAAGTACTCAGTATATGTGAGGATACATGGTCTAGAGAGGACCGTACCGTTGTGGATGATATGCGTGACCGACCCGTGCATCTACACGATATGCACTCAGTAGGTGCGTCTGATGCTCAGCTCGTTAGAACACACCTCTTGGAACAGGTCCTGTGAGAGTCCCCAGGAAGGATCGGTGATGTTTCCCTCGAGCAGCAAGAGCTTCGGCGAGGCCAGAACATTGGCGTCAAGCCCGCGCTCAATCATAGCGGCTGCCTGTCTCCGACGGAGAGGGGTCCCGTCCCTCGCCGCCCGGTTCAAGGCATATATACGTGCGACCTCGGGCGAAGACACTAAAGCATCGACGAGGTAGCATCCCAGATTTCCGGTGGTTCCTGTGAGGAGAATAACGTCTCCACTGGTGCCACCAGCGGTCGAGGAAGCTGCAGCAACACAAACGTCCCTTCGACGAATAGGAAAATCATGGCTATATCGAGTTGCCATGGCGCGCATGGCCTCTGTCCGAGACCGCAGGGCGGTCGTGGCCCTGTTGCGCACAAGTTCTGTTCCCTGCATGATGATGAACGAAAAACGAGGCGAGGAGGATAGAGAAGGATTATGGGCGGTCAAGGAGTATAGCTGATGCGGTGCCGGATGCACACAGAGATGCGGAGCGCGGAGAGGGGGGTGTAAGGGAGCGGGGGACTCGAGCTCACTCTGAAACGACGGCGAACGAGTGTAATTTGTAGGGGTTGAGTGTCCTGCCAGATTTCAATGGGAGGAAAAAGGTACACCCCACATGATGCGATCTTCCTCGATCTGCACGAGGAAACCCTCGCCATATGCGTGCCGTCCCCTCGGCCGCTGTGTGGCGGTCTTGGGCTTCTAAGCAGGACGCAAGACAGACGCGACTGCGCACTAACTGCAAACTGGTAGAACGCCCCAAGTGAGCGGCTCAGCAACACGCATTGGTCCAACGTGGAATATCATCTGTCGTAACGATGCGAACCCGCGACGGTTATGGCTTGTGGGTGGTCCAGCGATTGTCGTGTAATGCGGCTGCTGTTCGGACAGCGTAGTAGCACCCTGAGGAGATCTTGCGACGGAGATCCGCCATTACTACATTATGAGCCTGGGAGGAGGGAAAATTTGCGGTCTTCGAAAAGACCCACGCAAAGACCCTGCAAGCCTGCTCGTGGCTTAGACGCTCTGCGAGCAGCGGCTATCACTGACAACAGCCGGTATCAGAGGAGGACACGCCTGAGCGCGTGGCAAAGACGATGACATGGTGGCAGGCCTGTAGTAAGTGCAAGGGCTAGAAGCAACAACTTTGGGCACCCGCGGAGCGAACCATGTCTGCGGCGGGCCGGTGTACATGTCGTAACAAGTCTACTGCCACCCGGCGTGGACACCACAGGCTGCTCTGCTCGTTCTGGGATCTCCATGGGAGCTTACCCCTCTGTTCACGCATCAGATGCCAGAGTCCTAGCAGCGTTGACGCGAGGCAACTCATCTCTGTTGAAGACTCTGGGACTGACCGACAGGAGCTTCCGGTGTCCGACCCGTACCAGCTGCCGAGAACGGAATGATTTCGCACCACCTCCCGAAGCGGCCCCGCCAAGTGTGCGCGATGGTATCACCTCCGTCAATTATCATAGCTAAGCTGAGCCTCAGATTACAAGACACGCCTGCAGGCCAGTCGCTGAACCAATTCTGGACCCACCGTGGTGATTTATTTGACATTATACAACGCGTATTCACGACCTAAAAATATGACTTACGGTGGTTGGTCTCATGCGAGGCCCCGGGCAGTCCGGATTTCAGCATCATTATTGCATCTAGGGCGGTCGCCGGTGGAGAATCGGGATCGGAGATAACACTGCATCCAGAATCCGACGCGATTCGTGAACTGACCGCATCGCGGGTAGTGGAGGCCTACCGAGCCCGTCACTGAGACCTGAGGCCTGGGGTGACAGGTCTCCATGACCACCTCAGGTCCGACGGTCCTGAAGAGTCAATTCCCGAGGCCCGACTCTCTGAATCACCCGTCCCGTACAGGGCGTCGGCGCGAGAACGCCCCAGGCCCGGCGGGGCACAGTCGCGGGCTAAAACCGCAGTATCTCGCAGGCCAGACTAGATTATAGTGGACAGATAGTCGTACGTAAGGAGCGTTCGTTTCATCATGTTTCTGATCGACAATTCTTCGTACTAAGTAGATGAGGCTGCCCTTGTGGCGGCGACGATCGTCGGAGGCGACACTACCCGGCACTACGATATCAATAATGACATCGGCCCATAATACTTACATCATTCTCATTAGCCACTGCGTTTGCAATCGCATGGGTCGGCTGAGTCGGTCTTGCAACTGGATGTTTGGCGCCCATCGATAAACGGTAGATCAGTGGTTTGAACTTTGAATATCAATTATAATGCAACACGGTCACGACGCTGTGCTTGCGGAAAGGGTGGTCGACACGAGCTAACAGCTCTAGATCCAAATATGGATGCAAGCTTGTAGTAAACCTGCACTAGCGGACAGTCCAAGGCTGCGAACGGCTCTGTTTTCCCAGTCAGATAATCAGATAATAACCTCAAACATTGCAAGCAGCAAGACTCACGTCGATGTCAGGCCCTTGAATGAACGTGAAAAAGCGTGTCAACAGAAAAATCATGCAGTTGAGTTCCATTCGTAGTTATGCATGACGATATGCGCTTTCATCGGACCAGTTGTAGCATGGAGTGCAGACCAAGCCATGCAACCTGGCATGACACTTGACAGAGTACATTCCAACAAACTGGGGTCCAGTATGATGTGGCGCGGGAAAGAGGGCATTCATGCGCACGAGCGGTCGGTCTTTGATCCTTCCACGCTAAAGCGCCCGAAGATCACCACGAGAAGGGGCCTCAAGGCTGGATGCGATGCCGCCAATACGAGCGTACTCCATGAGACCAGGGTGCCGATCGGAGTGGTGGCAGCGAACGTGGAACAAGAATGTATCGGCATCCATCGTTATGCCGCCCAGCACTGATAGGGCTTATCGTCCAGCGTGTCAATGCAAGGTTGAGAGGGCAGACGTTCCGCTGAATCAGTGTAGCAGCCCAGACAACATGAGCAAGCGTGGACGGGGGCTGTCCAGGTGAATTGCTAACCGTGTTTCACGCTTGAAGATTGATTCGCAGGCACAGAACACGAGTGCTTCAAGTTAATATACTTGCCTATATGTAGACACCCTGTCGCACCTCCATAGCACGAGCTCCCGGCCACGCCGTTATGACCGAGGCATGGTGGACAGATAAGCCCGATATAACTATTCTAGAGGGAATCAGCGGAGCTATGTCTCCGAGACCAGTGGACAGGCCGCGATCCGACTGCGCGCACGGTGGAACGAGCAAAATTAACAATCACCAAGACGCCACTGAAAGCATGGTGTCGATCGTTGATGTCAACGGAAGCTAATGGGGCATTAAATCCGTGCCATTATAGACGATTAGGAAGAGCTAAGGCCGTGCGGGTTGACAGACGTACCACGCGTAGAACGCAGCGGGTCAACACCCAGCCCAAACATGTTTCTTCCTTCTTTTGCTCGATATTGCGGCAAGACTCAAGAGCTTGGATGTCCGCCACGGTCTCAAATTTGTCTGTCGTCTGCTATCTGAATACCGGTAAGCGAAGATCCGGTTTGCTATAATCAAGAATTTGTCCTCGAGTGCCCCATTGCAAGTGGTTGAGAAAGTCCAGTGAAAGTGGGAGAAGAGCGTTGGATCCAAAATGGCGGGAGAAAGCGAGGCTAGGCGTTAGGCGCCGGTGGCGCGGCCTGGTTACGGAGACACTTCGCATCTCTTCCTCAACATAGTCGATAATTCCTGCATATTCCAGGAATATTCCTCCTATCTGCTCTCGATGGGTTCATCATTAGAGTCGGTCGTTCAACATGCGTGGTGGTAACACTTCTCGATCTCCAAACATGGACTGTTTACTGACAGCTGGTTTCAGGCTAAGGAATACCCATAAAGTAATTAGGCTCTTGAATGTCTCTTGGATGCCCCAGAGTAGTACTAGAACATTTGCCTCATTCTTATGGCTGTCCAATTCCGGTTCTATGGTTATTATAGTCAAAGTGCCGGTGCGAGCTTTGGTTGCGTTCTACTGTCCGCTCAAGTCGATATGCTTAGGCACCAAGGTATGATGATGATGATGAAATCAGCATTTATATACCGCAACAAGCAAACAAACGTGCTCAGACGCGGTGATAACCGGTCCGTACAAGCATAACTAATACGACTGGGCTATCGCTATCGAGTCTCGGGGTGACGATATGCGGCGGTGGGTTCGGAAGTAGGTGCAAGCAATCTCCCCCATGGTGTGGGCACCAAGGTAGACACACTGCGAACATGCTTGAGAACTAGCCGCAGTAGCTGACCTACACACTTCTTCATGGGGCCCCTCCATCATCACTTATCTGATCACTCCCGTGCTTCAACTCTCGGTAAGTATGCGCTAAGCTCTATACATCAAACACCATGATACGGGGCTGCCGATGCGGATAGCGAACACTGGAGTCGTCAGGTGAAACACGTTTTCAGAAGGCGCGAGGTGCTTGAAAGCGCAAATTGATCCTGCGGCACGGTTATGCCATATTGATGGATTATCACTGAACATACACGCGGCGTACACGGAGATCGACCTTCGGTCACGAGTATTTGCATCTCTACTTCGACCGTTAGCGTGCCCTGCAGGGATCAGCACGCGGCGACCCAGTACCTTGTCACCGGTACGTTGATATACTTACATCTCAATTCATTGCGGTTATGTCTCCGACACATGTCTCCAGACGATCCCTGCTCCTTGCGCTTCCTTCCATCCTCGTTGGCTTCGATTTCTCAGCAAAATCTCCATGAGCTTGGCAGCATTCACTTACGAATCACAGTAAATTTCTCACATGACTATGGTGTTGTGGTCCGTCGGAAGGAGAGCCCAACTGCTTATTGAACCCTGACGTTCAACACTGTCTCGTGTTGACCAGGAAATCAATGTTGATTGGACCACGCTCATACGATGACAGCCTTCCAGTCAAACTCAAAGTAAAGCGAAGTTGTTCCGTACGGGGGTGCGAGAACGTGTGTTTCATCTCAAAATATGCAACGACGGCATCTAGACTGGAAGCGCAAAAATGAGTGTGAGGGCATTTCAGCTAGCGCATGTACTAAGTGTTGTTTCTATACTAAAGAGGGAATGACTGACTTTCACTAAATAGATGAGCAATACTCTACGTAGCATCGATGCCGTGAGATAGGAAGGAATATCAATAATATAGTGCAAGTCATTAAAAACGCAGCGTCCAGCAAGATATGTGGCCATTTGATCACCGACTAACAACGTTGTAAGTCAGAGGTAATTCGTCCGACGTCACCACTTGAATGACCTACCGAGTCCGGGACTACAGCCTAGCGAGAGGCTGCTCGCACTTGCCGAGTAATCCCACTTTGCGCCAGTACGTCAGCCATCGTCGCACGTCTTCCTCACTTACTCGCGGGAGATTCGGATCCGCAAGCGTCTGCGAAGCCTTCATCGCTTCCACCATGTCGACGTCGGGGAACCCTAGGGCCATGTGCGCGGGATAATACACCCGCAGCATATCCTGAAACCATTCCATTACTTGCAAGACCCTTAAGTCACGTATTCTCCTCCTGCGATCGATGGTATCTTGTGGTAGTGTCGCCGCCGCCGCCTCGAGCCTCGCCACCCACTCGCTAAAGGGCACGAGCGGAACACCGAATTCCCGAGCAATGACCCTTGCTAGGGTCTGCCACGACGTAGGATCCGGATGCACTAGATGCACCGTATGTGATGCGTTTGATGCCTTGCGAAAGTCTAGCAATGCCGCGGCCGCGTACTCGTACGGAATGAAGTTGATGGGCTGCACATCCCACGTTCCCAATCAGAAACTTGCGCATCTCTGACCGGAGGCGAAGAAGACGTACTCGCAGATCGTTGGGGTAGCACCCCAGCTGGGCGGCACTCTGCGCCATGAGTGGATACCATTCATTCACAGCCCAGGCGCCGCTCTTGCCGCCGGACGCCTGGCCTACACGAACTACCAAGGGATCCAAGTCCGTCTGTGCGGCGGCAGCGTACAAGATTTGCTCAGCTACCCACTTCGACTTTGTATAGCCACAGGCTGCTGTGACCTCGGGCTTTACGGGACGTTCCAATACCGGGGACTCTCGAGATGCATCTGTAAAATCCCAAACGCGGCAAGCCAGTCAGTGTCACATCTCCTTCGTGAGCTTTACTAAAAAGTCGAGACTAACATTGTAGCATAGCAGTAGAGCTGGTGAACAGGAGTCGTGGAGGTGAGGTACGCGGCGAAGTCAATGCAAAGTCCACCAGGCACCGCAAGCCTTCTAGAAGAGACTTGAACGCCGGAAGCCTGGCGATCATATCAACTTGCCATGCTAACCGGGCACCGTATTAGTGACAATACACTCGCGATACAGCACTGGGTATACCATTGTGAATTATGTGTGTCGTGGATCGATGCACCTGCAGTTGGCTGATGTCAGTCTCCCAGCGGGTATAGCGAACGCAGCCGTGTCCGTGTACCTGTTCGTAAACTCCTACAGGGAGTCCCCAAGTCGGATCGGTCAGACTTCCTTCAAGGAGTATCACCTTGGGCGAGTGGGGAATTTGTGGATCAAGTCCGCGGTGTCGCAGAGCCTCTTTTTGCCTGTTGAGCAGTGACGCCCCGTCCCGCGAGGCTCTGTTCAATGCATAGACTAGTCGTACTTCCGACGATGAGACGAGGGCATCGAGAAGGTAACATCCCAGGTTGCCAGTGGTTCCAGTCACCAACACGACGTCTCCGTTGTCCTCTGAGTGTCGAATGGCCCCACCAGTGGTGGTGCGGCGAGGAGGAAAGTGGCGGCAATACCTAAAAGCCATCGCTCGCATTTCCTTTATCTGAGACTCCAGAGATTCTGGCATATTGTCCGGGAATTCTGCTGCCAGCATTCGAGGGGAGAGAAAGCCGTGACGACGGACGTAGACTTGACAATTTGTCTGATCCGGGCACGCAGCGGTATTTATTGGAAAATCTGGACCGGAGCGGCAAGAAGCAAGTTCAACAACGAGGCAGGTGAGCTGACCAGTGCTTCCGCCGTGGGGCAATCTGGGGCCAGCTGTGTAGTTGACATCGCGTGCCACCTATGTGACGGCTGAGAAGGAGATGACGAACAGGCCATCAGCGACCGCATAGGTGAGATGACAGCTTGAGTGACACGGAACTCAGGCCCCGACTGTCTAAGGATCAGGTTCATCAAGCAGAGCGAACCGAACCGGCAATGCCCACTGGCTCAGCGGCAATGAAACACGGATCACACCTCCCGACCCACGGTCGCCGACTCGGATTCCACGGCGACCGCTCTCATGTTCAGGCTTGGCCACCTGCGCACTTTAGTGCATTGATCCGTTTCCGCTCGGAAGGAGGTCAACGTGCAACGACGAGAGATGTCTGAGCTCTTGAATTCACCAGTAGCTCAGGCATGCTACGATGTCGCTTCTCAGAGTTTCGTAATCCTGGAAATCCACCTGATTTCTCAAAACTTGCGCGGTGCCGCCGGTCGGTAAGTACACTTTGGCTACCATTCGACAGACGACTGACCGGCGGAGTTCGCCTTGTAGGGGCTGCAGACTGCAAGACTCGGAATCCGGAGCCCTTCGCGTAGCCCGAAGAGGATATATTCATGTACACGGCGAGCGGGCTCACTCGTCAGACTCTAGAGCACATCTGCTGATCGTCGTGTTTGCTGTATACTTGTCCAGGGTGCTTTCCTGCCTTAGCGGGCATAGGTGTCTCCCATGGCTTTATGGCCGGTTTCCGCCCGAGGCGTGATATCAAAGAGCATCGGTTCGTTCTGCAATCATTGTCGCACGCTACACTTCCAGTGGACCCGCAATCGATTTCCACTCAGTTATTCAAGTTCGTCTTCTGAGTAGGCTGAGAGGAAATAAGAACTTGGCTGAATTTCTACTGCGTCATTCGTGACTCGCGAGAACAACCGATGCTCGTGAGAGCGTCTCTTCTAGCCTGATCATAAAGTCCGTAGAGATGGGAGTTTAATTCATTCAATTGCCATACATACATGTTTATAGCTTTGAAAGAATTAGTACGCATGAGGCGCATGGAATGCGGAATGCCTTACAGCATCCCGAATCCACTGGTGCACAAACGCTGCCTGACGAATTTATCCCGGAAGCATACTAACTGAACTGGGATAACTCCAGCGCTACAACAGACCCATATTGTTGAAGCGCAGACTTATGATAGTGCACACTCGGAAGTACGCTTGTGTGATGCGACAATGGGATCTCACTCCACCGTCTCTGCTATGCTCAGGATATTGCGGCTGCCACTGATGGATCTAACGAGCCTTTTCAGGGTGCTGAAGCTCCGCAGTTTGACACTTAAGAAGGTCTCGACCTATCTCGCATCACAAGATGATGGTCGCTAGAATCGGTCCTGCAACGCTACCATCGCTGTCATTAGAATTGACAAGGAGCTATGGCTCCTTGTCAATCCTAATGAATGGAATGGTATTTGCGACATGCACCCCTCATATCAAGTGGTACTGAAGGCCATCGCTCAGCTAGCTTGGCTTGCCTGCCTGTATCATAGTCAATAGGAGACATGGAAGCGTTTTTGTGGGATCAGGTATGTTTTTCGGCTGTGGCATCAGCCCGCCAAAGTACCAGTTCAGCCAAAAGGACGACAGCGAAGAGAACCCGCGATACCTAGCCACAAAAGAAAATGTTAGGATAATACTATTAAGAACTATGAAGAACTATTAAGAACACCGTATGTTTTTCCATGTGCATAAAATTGAGACAGTCCTAGCTAACTCACAAGGGCCCGAGGGGCTCTAAAAACAAATTCATCAGCGTGTCGTAGATTGTAAAGGCCCATGTATTGTCGTGTCCTCTGAGGGAGCTGCAATCATAACTTTGACGTGACAGCTTGTCAGGATGCCAATCGTCTTTGAGTATGCGTTTGCTTAACACTCTGCGAGACTCATCGCTGGAGTGGATCATTCATTATCCAACTGGCTGCAGATAGAGCGAAGCTCACCAAATTGACTAACAACTGACAGGAGATTGGCACGCGCGCTCGACCAGTCGTTGTCTGCCTTGATTGATCTCAGCATACACTAGCAACAAGTATGCGCGCATCGCTATGACACGCTCGCGGTGCGCGATCTCGAAACTTCATACGGACACATGATTCTCACAGAATTCGACATCGCGGACAAAGATATATCTGTGAGGCCGATATGGACCGCCAAAAGCATACTGGAGGATCAGTTGAGGATCATTAGCAATACGCACAGTAGGAACTGTAAAACGTACTTTACTTGCGCCGACTCATCCAAGACGCGTCAGCGACTTCAGCCGCGAAACAGAAATCTGACTCCCGCTGCCAGTCTGCGAGGGAGACGCCGACGCCCGCGAATTCAGACTACGAGTCCTAGTGTAACTTGCTGAAGAGGATTGCGACTTGTCATGTAAGGCTTGAGGTTCTTTCCGTGAGCTCGTCGACGAAGTTGACCAACTCTTCAGAGAAGGAGTAGGTCTGCGCATTGTCCGTTCAGTTGACACTAGAGTCTTGGACGAACCTCACAAACAGCATGTTAGACAGGAATTATTCCAAGGGACGACGAACCATCCCGGATACTTACTTGTGGTAGCACTTGTGCTATACTCCGACTCTGCATAACTGCATCATCGCTTCAGTACGGATCGTTTTATTCATATAATCCAAGAGTCTATCTACTGGCCTGAGTTGTCGTAGCAGGGGATGCTGCAGGTCGTCTGTTATCTGATCTCACACAATGTTGAGACTCTTGCGACCGAGACACTCGACGTCTTCGCGACTGTGCTCCATTTCGATTAGAGATGATCAAGAAGTTGTTGAACTGTATATTAATCTGTAGCTTCACCGGTAAAAACATCAAAGCAGAGATGAACAGGGGGAAGATGAAGACGGAATGAAGGATAGGGCACGTAGCATATCGATTTACGAACATTTTGTCAGCTGACATTTTAGTACTCACGGAGGGGAGATGGAGAGATAGAAGTGACCGAATGCGTCTGCCCCTTCTTGCTGGGAATATTATGCAATGAATAGTGTTTTCCGAAGCGCGGTCTAGGAGGTTCTACATCAAGTCATTATCATTGATAAGACCCTCGCAATCGCACGTTCATGCAAGTACACTTTACCTTGTACAAAAAAGCAATGTCCATTTCTATGGTAGGGAGAGACCACCTTTCCGATGCTTTTCTTGGGTGAGAAAAGGATGAATTCTTTGCTGTGTTTCCGGACAGCAACTTCCCCGGATCACTATATGATATGGGAATGACAATTGCTGGAAAGCCAAAGATAAGCTCAAAAGATGATAGGGTGTACGGTGTATTGGCCGCGGCATGAGCTTCCTCATCATGAACAATCATGATGCAATGACGCTGCTCAGCTTCCAGTTTCACATTTGCACAGCTCGATTAGAGACAGGGAAGCCTCCTCAAAGCTCGGAACTATCTTATAGAATCAATTACTACGGCCGAACCAACAAATCAGACCTGGGTGCAGCAAGAATACGTTGTACTCACCCTTCGGCGGCCTCTCATTCGTATTGACCGCGACCAAGAAGTATTGGATATTGTTTTCAACTTGCTCAAGAGTCATCGTGTGAAACGGAGATCGGCTTTTTGAAAGACCAAGCGTTGGGTGCAGATCATTCCATTGTACTTTTCAAATTCACTCAGCCTATCCATAAATGAGATGCGGGGATGGCCCACTCACGACAGCATGTTCTTCATCGGAGATGCATGCGCAATTGCAATGCGCCATAACTACGGAAAAGAAAAGCAATCTTCAGAATAATGGGTATTTAACTAAACTGACACAGAACTCATGCTATATGGAAGGTGATAGGGTATACGTAAAAGATACTGTCCGCAATATGGGGATCGACGATTGAGATTATACAGGTGTGTTTGTCCACTAGGTTCAGAACAGTAAGTCATCGCAAGGACATAAAAATATAGCGTAACAAAATGCCGGCCCTAACATGTCTCCTAGAACGACGACGTCATGCACACACTTCGGCAAGACGGATGGCATCGCGCATTCTGTCTCTGGTAGTTTCCATATACCACGGCGGATAAGCAGCATAGTTCATGGCACCGCACATACTGACAAGCCAGTCCTCTAACAGCTTGCGAGTCCACCTCACGCCGCGCTGCTGGCGTCCCAAGCGCAGAATGTTTGCGATGTCATATGGGTCATATTTCTGGTAGCGCACAAGCTTCAGTGCAACGGCCCAGCTCCAGCTGACTCCAACGAGCACGAGGCCGGGAGACGTGAATATAGTGTTGATGCTTAGGTTTCGCGCACTGATGGCGTCAGTCCATATGGAATCATACACGTTGCCATATACACTGTGTGATTACAAAAAGCGGAAAAACAAACAAAGATAGTTCTCAGTAGAGTTTGAACAATGAAGTCAGATCACTCACTCCCTGGCATACGGCAGAGCAACATCTGCATCTGCGTTCATCCAATCTGCTCCGAGGTTGAAGCGACAAGCAGTGGCAGTAATGCATGTCTTAAGGCGCTCTCCAGCGTCCTTGACACCGAGACGTCGCCACTCTTGCACAAAGGAGCGGTGGTTGTAGTCGACGTCGCGGGTGTTACTTCGAGATGCGAGACGGGGATGTAGCACCATGATGACACCCCCGTGCACAACGAGACGCACTGTACGCCCGAAATACTGGAGGAGACGAGAAGACAAGTCATGAAGTACAGTATGCAGGAGTGAGCGGTCGAGCAAAGTCTGGTTGCGTGGCGGGAGACTCCATGTCGGTGACGAGGTACGTGGCATTCCAGCCCAGCAGAAGACGACCTAGCGACAGCGAGAGGGCAACGGACCACAGCAGGTGCGCGTACGAAGAGACAACGTTCATCAGTGCGAGCGTGGTCCTGAAAGGACAGGCCTTTTGTATTGTCTCGGCGAAAAAGCGCTTTGACGACCTATGGCCGATGCCTAGGCGCTTACTGCGCGCTCATGCAACGTGCATGATGCATGTTAGGGCGCAGTTCTCGCCAGCTACGACGAGCAGTGTCGCACCGGCATTGCCCCCCCCCTTACGCTCCCAAGCGGCCTTCAGACACAAGTCGGCGGTATCAGGACTACCAGTTGACGGACCAGGCGGACCAGGCGCAGCATTTGGTGTCCTCAGGTAGTGTTGTCATCCAACGCCACTTGCCACCTGCCACTCGCCACTCGCCACTCGCCACAGGAACAAATAGATAGCGGAGCGCTGAAGCGTTCCAGTCGACACCTGGTCTGTCCCAAATTATCATTTATTCCGCTGCCAAGGCCCTCTATTGAAGCCCAAGCTAGCCAACCAGTCAAGGAGGGCGTTGGAGAATTTTCGGTTTTCATCTGACCTCCGCGAGGACTACAGATTCTTTTGGCTAGTGGAACCTAAATTCCTGACATGAGATTTGGATAGAACTCATTGGAAGAATAAAGATGATGCCATGAAATGGAAGCGGATGATGCTTGTATAAGACCACATATGAGGCGGTGTCGGCTAACAGTGAATGTTGCATCACGCACACACAAACCCCTATAGTAGTACTGGATTATTGTCTAAAAGCCGTGAGTGTAGAGCGGCCCGCTTTGCATAGGATTACACTCAGATGCACAACACAGCTATCCCAATAACTTCGTGCGCCACCAATCTGAATCAGTGGCGGGAGTGAACGGCAAGGAGGACCACAAATTTGTCAAGATGCAAATCACATCTGCTATCGCATCTTTTGGGGTGAGAACACAGAGGAAAACTCACCGGACACTATAGATGGTGGCAGGTCAGCCAATTATAGATGACGGATTCTTTGAGGCGGTACTAGCGCAATGCGTATCGGTCCATACACGCGATAGTCCGGTTCGCTACTTGGTGTCCTGGCCCTGTGCGCAGAGGCACCTATATTGGTGCAGCGAAGCAGTGACTTAGGGAAATCAGTACACGCGGCATTCTGTGTCTCGAAACCGCCAACGCCGAACCGTTAGATGGAAGTTGCACACGATGGCGGGGGACAAACTCACTTGCCTTTTGCGGGTAACCCAGTCCACATACGAGGCACCACAAATGTAAAGTCACACAGACGGTCAAAATTATACTGGCACGATGAGTTGATACCAGTAGTTGGTGGTCGCTTGGAGGGGAGTCGATATGTGAGGACTTGGCGCTGGTTTTCTACCCAGTGTTACACATCCCAGCATCGCAGGGGAAGAAGGACAAAGATTAAGATATAGAGCATGCAAGTGCAGCAGACAGACAGTGCGACGCATAGAGAACGATGGTTCCACTGAGGTCCGAGGAGAAGACGCGGCGCACCTGGCGCCTACGGTCTGAGGCCATTGCTCTCCCTCCACGACGACATCAGGACATCATCAGTATCGTTGCCATGACCAGCAGGCTGCCCAAGCTCGTCGCCTTTGATCTTGAGTACGTCTTGTAGTCAGCACGTTAATCTCAAGACTTAGAGTGCGACCGCCACACCACGTCTCATCAGCACAGCTACACCCTCTGGGATCTTTGGGTAGATACCCATGTCACTCGTAAGTATTGCGGGGCGAGAAATTAAATACCGCACTCAGTCGAAACATTTCAGCTCCTCTGCGCCGTGATGGCGATGCAGTGAATTCGGTGCGCGATAAGTGGGTACTTGAACTCTGTGGCGTACCCCATACTAAATTTTGTAGGTATAACCATGAGATCGCCTTCTACCGCGATGCTCCAGAGATCCTGCATCGACTACGTGCAGCAGAGGTGGTGATTGCAGCTTGTTCGCGCACGGGTGCGCCTGCTCTGTATGAGTTCTTACGTATCGTCTTGTATATGCCGCCCTGATGCGCGAGGCAGTGCTCGTCAAGCGTTGTCCCTACTCCTAATTCCACCCAAGGCGGGAAATAAAGATGTCCCCCCGACGCCTGCAATCCGGTTCTTTGATCAACAAGAGATATACCCAGGTTCGTCGGCTATGTTTCTAGAGTGCGCTTTAGTCCGATGCTGACAAATTTTCCGGACATGTAGGTTCCAAGATAACACATTTCAAAAGATTACATCAGAAGACGAGGATACCGTACTCAGAGATGGTGAAGACATCTACGCTTCCGACGCTTCCTTTATGCTCACATGTTGATAGCTATTTTTCGATGACGAAAGCCGCAATCGTGAAGTAGAGTCTCTGGGTTTGTTTCATTCGACCAATTCCGCCATCCACATGCGAGCTCATGACTCTCCTAGGCGTAACCTTTTGCCTTGCATCGAGTGGATTAGACGACAAGACATTCCAGAAAGGTCTGAACGAGTGGCGCAAGCGACACCCTGTCGAAGCGATAGAGGATGCTGACAAGATTGCGAATTAGACGTGCTATTGTTTACTGCACACAATAGAAATCTGTTCTGGAGCCGTGTGTCCGCACTCGCTCCCCATGAAGTGTTCAGCTAAATGTCCCTCCGATGCCGGCGTGGTATAGGCTTCTGGAATGCTTTGCCCTGGCCTACATATGGCTCATTACCACACCGTATGACTATTTACCAATTCTAATAGTTAGGGTTGATGTTGATCTGGGATGGCATCTGACGCATTTTAAAACTGCTTCTCGTTTCCTGGTAGGGACAATATTGTACTCAGCATCTAACCTAGCTCGAAAGGGAATGTAGGGACCACATTACTACTGAAGGATGTGGATGTGGATGTGAGGTCGTGCGGTAAGCGGCGTCGCTTTGCTTGATCCATATCATCTGCAGCATGACCTTGAGGCTGCAACTATGAAGCTTCCTATATATCATTCTCCACTGTCTCAGTGTGACCAAGAACTGTTGATTGCTAACCCCTGCTATGTTCCTCAATCATTTACCCTATGGTGAATTGCTGACTTCGTGTAGGTGCTTTGACTGGAATCGGATCAGCATTGTATGATGCTTTGTCTGCTAATGAAACTCTCGCTCATATACCCATGCTAGGAGCTATAGAACGAACTTCGACTGGATACTGCGGGCCAGGCCTGTCTTTACATCCCACCCGACTTTCGATGGCGCACTGGTCTTCCCGTCTCCTTACGGTCAACTTTTACCGTTTAGTAATCCCAGTCGTCTACTACCACTTGATTGGCTGCAACCACTAGAATGTCTACAAGTTCGGACAAGTATGACCGTTGCACCAGTGCTGTAATCGCAACATATACGCAGGTACTACCTCTGCCAGGACGTCTTCGAGAAGGATTCGCGGAGATGATCTCAGTGGTATGGAAGACAGCCATTACTGCATACTTATATTAAAGCATTATTATTGTATACGCTATGATGTAATTGTATTGACTGTTACACTATAGTATGGTTCTGTAGCTTATTACTAATCTTTTTCACTTGGTCTTTGGACGTCTTCATACACAGCGGTCCCTCAACTTTCGACGATCTCATATCATATTGCTTCTTTGTCACTGTTCCTGCATAGTCTTCGTTTGTGGAACTTGTTGGCATTCTCATGTCGTCTTTGGAGAGAAGTCCTCCAACGAAGCGGATCAAGTTAGAGCCCTCACTGACGCCTCCGGCTCGATCCCCAAGTATCGTCGAGATCCCACCGCCAGACCAGACGATTAAGACAACAGACGATGAAAGTGCCAACGACGAGGGAGACCACTGCAGCATATGTCTGCAGCCGTTCGCAGACCGAGCGGTTGTGCCGACATGCTCGCATGAGTTCTGCTTTGAATGTCTTCTCATTTGGACGGGTGCGTAGTCGTTTGTCGCGTTATACCACATCTATTCACCGGCGCACTTATAATGCAACCCTCTTTAAACTGGATCAACGTCCGCCAGAGCAATCGCGACGATGTCCTCTTTGCTCACAAAACATGGGCGACTACCTGATCCACAATATACGGTCGAAGTACGACTACCAGAAGCATTATATATCACCTTTGCGTGCATCACCAGACTCGAGAAGGGCCGCACTCACATCTCAACAAGAAGCACGAAGACGTGCGCAGACACGGCGCGAGCACGAATGGGGGTTCAGACGGCGCAGAGAACAGGAAGAAGCCGACGAGCTTCAAAGAGCTATCGAGAAACGAAGGTGGGTTTATAGGCATCACTTATACGCGAAGGTGAGTCATTTCCCATATTCCTTCCTGCTCGCTCGAGAGATTATGCCAAATACGCCGTTATGCATGACTATAGCGTCGGCTCCGCCTGGTGAGAGTTAGACATACAGGTTTTGTCAATATATTCGATTCCATTCACTGTATTTTTACACTTTTTGTGACTCCCATCGTTGCTGCATTTATTGACGGAATCAATCTAGCATGTGGCCTCCAACGCTTACACACGCTACCGTCCATTGCCCACCCCTGCACAGCTTGCAACATCCCCAGACCTCATCAGCCGTGCCACAGTGTTTTTGCGACGCGAACTGAGAGTATGGGTAGGTTTGGATGTTGAGGTGAGTGCAATCATACTGCTGGTGGCCCTAGTCCTAAGCTTGTATGCTTGAACACGGGCGATCCCCCAGACATGGTACTGACTATCTTTATTCTGAATTTCAATGATTTACCGTCGGTCGATGCGTTACCACTTCGCTTGCTCCTTACGCCACTTCTGGTATTCGCCAACGAAATCGATTACTCCGCACTAACGGTTTATATGATTGCTTATTCGACGTGTCTTAACTTCTTGGATGTCACTGTTTCCTCCATATGCTGCCTATACATTGCTGAACACTCCGTTGAATGTCTATTTCGTGGCCGACACTTCGTCATATGCTTCGCACGATTGTCTACTGACAATGTCTTTCTTGGCATGTGTCTGTCGCCTGACTGCCCCCCCTTTCCCCTTATGCGATACATCAAGTTCTTGACAACATTCGTGTTATCTCTCATGAAGTCACTTGATATTCGCTCGGAACCTGCGGTGCGATTACTGGCCGAATTCCTCGATTTGGATAGCGGCGGCGAGCGCCTGAACGCGGAGCATTTTGCACACGGTGAGTGTACCCTCCTCGTGCTATTGTGTATTTCAATTAGTATCAAATCTCCCGCCTGTGTGGGCATGCGGTAGCATTGTCTCTGACACTACCATAGTATCGGGTCCAATGTATCACCACGGCGGCGACGGCCTCTCTTCCATCTTTGTGACTAGCGAACCTAGACCATAGCTTGCAGTAATTTGATATGGGTCTCTCGCCGACCCACCGGCTTTAGTATCATGCTTTTATGCCGACCATCCGTTAGCTTCCTTTCATTAGGATACTGACCCCACTCGTGCATCTAGAACTATATTCCTACCTTCGCTCTCCTTACCGCGACTTGGCCGTATATGACACAGTTGTCCAGGTGAGCTTGAATACAGATATTTACGTTCGTCACCTCACACCGACTCTTCTTCATTTATTTGGTGACGCGTGTTTAGTATGATGTTCCGGAGAACGTGCCGGCTCCAGCAGTTCTGCCTCAACGGGCTCGACGGTGGAGATCGCGGTCGCGCTCATTCTCTCGTCCTCGTTCTCGTTCTCGGTCTCGGTCTCGGTCGCATTCCCGGCCACGCTCCATATCCCGAGGCCCTTCTCGTTCGCTCTCGGGCGAAAGCACTCGCCTTATGTCCCCGTCCCGCAGTCTAACCCCCGCCTCGCGCTCTCCCTCTCCATACCCGCGGTCATCTCGCTTATATCCCATCTCGCCTCATGGGCGTAAGGACCATACGTCGTCTCATCGGCAAGCAGGTGAAGAGAGGGAAACGCATTCCCCTCGTCATCTGGACCGACATTCTCGTGAGAGGCTACCGTCTCGTCGTAATTCTAATAGCAGAGAAGGCGGTAGGGAAGGACGTGTTCGTCCCCCGACTAGAGACCGTAATCTTGATTACAGCCATAAGGGCAAAGGTCGTGAGGAGCGAATATCGCGAAGCAGACCTGGCGATGATCGTGCACGCCGCAAAAGCCGACCTTTATCCCCCAGGCGACAGCAGTCATCTACGAACACATATCGCGACCACGCACATGTGTCTACTGCGCACATTAATGACGTAGCAACAGCCTCCCTTGCGTTGAAGGACAGTGATGATGTACAACCGAATACCCCGGCGCTAGATACACATGCAGCGGCATCTCCCTCCGGAGAACCTCCCACAGAGCGGCCTCAACGTTCGCTTAATGATGCGTCTTCTGGCGATGCGGTGTGCGTGAAGAAGTCACAGCGGAGGACAGTCCCAGCTCAGTCGAATAGACGCAGTCTGGTGGAGTCGGTGCAAATGCACCTATCCATACGTGGTGCCTCTGGAGGCCACGACAAATTACAGGGATATCGTGGGCAGTCATCCACATCGTCTGTGCCGAATGAACAAGGGGCTATTAGCTCTCGTAAAGGACGCCTGCCTGGAGAAGCTGCTCTCAGTTCGAGGGTCCCCTCGTTGCTCCTGCGGCTATCCGATCCTACCCCCACCATGACTGAGTCTACTTCTCGCGAAGAGCCTGCTCCACAACGTGCTTCCGCCGGAGCCGCGCGCAATTCAGCAACTGGCTTGCAAGCATCTTCGGTCCTCCCCCCGGAACCCGAGACCGCTCGAGCCAAAGATAGTCTGGTTAAACGCAATTTTCGTTTGTCAGACTCTGATCTGACCGCTGCCGGCCCACGAAGTCTTTCCCAATGCGTCGATGAGGAAGCCAGTCCTCTGCAGCCACCAAAGGTCAAGCCGGATGGTGAGTTCCTGCCTCCTCTCGGCGCCCGCCCATCCGTCCACGTATCCCATATTTCTCAGAGTTTCACCTTGTTCCACTCTTTTGAGATCTCGCTAACCTGAGCCAACTCCTAGGTTGTGTCACGCCGCTGGCCTCGAGCGATCTACGTGCGGCTCTGCTTAGCAAACTCGCCCACGAGAAGCGCATCAGTAGTCATACGGCCGCCATGGACGACGTCGGGTCTCAATCTAACCCTGAAAACGCAGATTCAGCCGTTACTATGCGACCGGCCACTGCCTTCAGTGTCCAGGAGACTACCAACTCAGTCGGGCCGTTGGAATCGGCTGCTTCTCAGGAAGGCAGGCTTCGTAGCCAGGCACGACTGCGGATTCGCCTTGCAGCTGCCAGGAAGGCTGCTCTCAGCAGTGCTGTGGAACATGACAATGCCAACGATGACATTGTTCCAACCTCATTAGAAGCTATCGGGGCTGATGATAGTCTTATGGAGAAAGAGGAGCTGCTGAGAGCCAGGTTGATAGGCAGGCAGACGTAACTAGATTTGATACATGCAACAAATCGATCAATAGCTACTAGCATACGGTAAATTCTGTTGTACTACTTGCGGTGCGAACGAATGAATAGATCAACAGTATGGTATTGTGTTAAAGCTGCCTGGGACTTGGAGATAGTATGACAGGAATTCTATGTGCAGTCGGCGGAGCTTACACTGCAAACAGGATTAGAGACGACAGATAGTGTTCGATAGCAGGGCAGCGATTATGAGGGAATATCGCATATGCAGATGGCGCAGAGTACGTGGTCGAATTCGTGAGAGACGTTGAAAAAAGGATCGTGCAATGAAATATACAAGGGATAGCTATGGGTGCAGACACACAGTCAAGGGGGAACGTTGAACCTCTCATTCACTGCATCGTCAGAAGGGCGCGATCCAGTACGGGGACCGGTGAAGCTAGGAAGTATATGTTGAGAGAAAGAAGGGCCAGGACGAGCTGACCGGGTCCGCGACGATGGAGCAGTTGGAGAGAGAGTTGGATCAGAGACACCTTCTGGTACCCTGGGTCTGTTCGGCATCTGAGAGAAGCTCGTCCATGGACGTGGTGTTGGAGACTCAACGGGAGGTAGGAAGGGTGCATCCCCAGGAACAGCGTGGAAAGGATTACTGGTGCGCGACTGAGGCGACGTCCTGGGGCGAGAGAACGGCGAGAATGCAAGGTCGTCCCACTGTGGCCGAGGCTGCAACGTAAATGGCGGAGGAATGTTGAGAAGAGGTCGTTGTACAAACGTAGGTTCCGAGAGATACGATGCCTGCGGCAGGCGGTGGGGATCACCCATAGAAAGATCAGGTGTAGGAGAAGCAGCAAAACGCGGGGAAGCGGCATGATGAGGCCCGATGTTCGGAGGACGGAGATTGTCCTCCATCAGAATGGGAGCAAGTGTAATGGGAAAATCTGGCTGCTGTGCTCCCAGATCGTCGGACAGCAGCCGTGAACGTGGCGGGTGCCCGGCCTGCGCACGATAACCCTCCGCCGCCGCTTCGTCAGCAGCAAGAGGGCGAGAGGGGCGCAGGGACGTGGGACCCATGGGTAAAAAACTCATTGAGGACGCGAGACGTTCTTGTGATGCCGTGGAATCCCGTGCTTCTCTCGGCAAGGTAGGGTGCGCACGAATCGCACTGCTTGGGCCAGGAATCCCGGGACCCGACAGCTGCGATCCGCTCACAGATCCCGGATAGCTTTGTGTCGCATGTGCCTCGTGTTGGCTGGCAAGTTCCGACAGCGAAGGCGGAGGTCCGCCATGCGCATGCGCAGATGCAGAGCTTCCCTGTGCCGACCCCAGTGGAATGCTCACCTCGCTCGAGGGACCGGGCGGGGCATTAGAGAATGCTCCAAACTGAGGAGGACGCGTCAGAGGCGCAGTGGCTTGGCCCCGAGGCCGCCTGGCCTTCTGGCGCTGGTTCTACAGGCATTGTCAATCAGTCGATCCAGTCGTCAAAACCAGTAGGTTGCTTGCCTGAAACCATATCTGAGAGATTGAGTGAGGCATTGCCACAACCGATACAAAGTACATGCTCGTACCTGAACCTTGCGGGCGCTGAGCCCAATGGCACGCCCCACCTCTTCGCGCATCGCCGTAGTAGGGAAGCGAGACTAAAGAGTAAGGTAATGAGGCGGATTGTTATCCGAACAAAAATTGAAAGCTGACCTGGGCAAGAAGGGCATGAAGAACAGCAGACTGGTGTGGAGTAGTCAAAGTCCGTGTTCTCTTTTTTTTGGGAGGCGAAGTCATCAGTTGAGCCTGCGCGTCAGACGACTGACTTGGACCGGCTTCCATCTCAGTGTCGGCCATGTCCCCCTGTGAGGATGATATTGAAGGACTTGATCGTTCAGCATGCTCCCTACGCTCCTCCTCCATAGTGTCACGACGGCGAGGTGAAGCTTCTTCCTGGGATGGTCGCGATTCGGACGGCGCCTGGTAATGGTCGGCGAGTACAGCTTCTTGAGGGTCGTGAAGGGTCGAGTGAGAAAAGAGTGTATATCTTGAAGAAGGACGATGTATGTGGCTTCTTTTGAAGTCGTCTGAAGGATTACCGGAAGACGAAGTGCCTGGCGGTGTATTATTCATAGCAGAAAGTGATTATCATGCGGTAGATTAAGGGTCGAATTAAAGGGATGGGAACAGATTGTCGAAGGATATTAGACCTTCGGAGAAAGTGATACAAGCAGAGCGAGGGAGCCTCAAGATCATCGAGCCTTCGGGGAAGGGGAAGGCTTTCCAAGATCAGACAAACCGTCTAAATAAGCTAAGGAGCAATCGAGAGACACCGACGCTCGGGAACGGGCCCATGGGATGAGCGCCTGTGCGAAACGCGATCGAAAATCAAATCATGATCATAACCTCGATGGCAAGGGCCGCAGAGTGTTCTGACCGACCGAAATTTCCTCGTCTTTGTTGTCGGCACTATCCCCCTTTCGTCCATGAGCTGTAGGTGCCCGCTGATGCAATGTCCGTGGCCAAGGTACTTTCCTGAGACCGACAAAATTCCCGCGGCGACTCGATACGATGCAGTTGCGCTCTAGGGCTGGTTACCAGTAGAGACTAGTTGTAACTATGCTCTAAGCTTGAACCATATACCGGGGGTGGCCGGTAACGTCGTGTGACTACGGTCGCGGTTTCTCCGTGCCGTCACAATGGCGCTGCAACATGCAACGCTCGACCCGCAGCGGCTCGCCCGGTAACGCTGAAAATGACTAGTCCGGCAAGGATTGGATATGATCGACGGTCGTTTGAGGAAGAGGAAATGTTGAGACGAGGACTGCTAGCATGAGAGATAGATTAGAAAATGGATACGGACACCCGTGAAGCGCTCTTACCACGTGGAGGGTTTCCGGGAGCGGGAATTCTGATAATCCAGATCAGCGTTGCCTTAGATTGCAGATCGCGCATGGCGTAGTAGTCAATGCCCATTGGCCACGCTTACCCGTTGGCCTCCCAACATTGACGTTGCATGTTGCGGGGTTCGTTTCCTGTTCAACGAATACTTGCGCCCATTGCATGCGTATCATTACCCTGGTTGCTTGGCACCGGAACTCGTAAGGTTTGTTTCTATCATGGGAAGGGGAAGTGCAGGGCTGAGGGATTGAGGTACGAATTGAATACATTACAATCGCACTCAAACGGATATGTACGTATATCTCCCCATTCTAGGGTGAAAGCAGTACGGAGTTAATTAGGATCAGACAGGAACCGTACAAAAAACCACATTAGAGGATCAAATCGGCTGGCGCCGATTATGACAGCGTGGTTCTGAATTCATCGAGAAACGATGAACGCCGAACGGAGCGCATGTGGGAAGGCACAATATTCTCAGTCGTTCGAAAATGAATTCCAATACGGTAAATAGACGCACTTTTGTCGCGATTGTATCCTTCCTCCGTCTGTAGCATGAGTTTCAAATTTCAAATTTCACAAGGCGGAAAGACGACCAAATGACATGTCCAACAGTTGTCTCGTTGCCGATGCATCGAGTGTCGATATCAGCGGAGGTCCGTAAGCGATGGGAGAGGTTTTGCCATCCTGAATGGCGATGCAGGAAGCGGGCTCGAAGCAGTCCAGCCTGTGCTGGCCGGCACCAGAGTGCCCTCGCCGAAACCAGAGCTATCTATCAAGCACAACGATGCAGCTGCAGAAGGACCTCCGTACGGTAAATATGATACGATTTTGACATGCGCCCCGGCGTTAGTAAAAGCGAAAAGACAAATTGCTTCATGCTATAATGCGCCTGACGTAACAGGAATTTGTTGAAAACAATAAGAGATCCGTACTAACGGATCTGAAAATGAAGTCAGAAGAGAGCACCCGTGATGAGAAGGATTCGTGCGTTTGTATGAATGTTTTTCCCAAGGACATACACAATAAGCCTGGGAACGTGGCAATGACACGAGGACTTGAAGAAGTACCCCCACGTTCGACTTGAGATAGATGGTAGTGGATATTACCTGGATAGTAACCAAGTCCCGGCGGTAGGACGCAGCGTTTGTACGGAACCTAGACGAGTCCGACATTCTGTGGCTCTCTACAATCGTCATCGATCCCAATGTGAACTTGGTATGCAAACTCACGGAAAAAGTCCGGTATAACACATGCTGTGTCATTGCCGGCATTGTAGCGTCGTAGCTTGTAAGATATCCACTCTTCGAGCGGTCAGCGGAAGAGGCGATCAGACCCGGAAATGACCATGATCCATCATTTATAAGTTAGGTCCGTGTTGAATTGTGTCTATACACTTGCCTTTAGAGTGGACATATTGCTTGACAAATCTTCATTTAATAATTCACAGTGTTTTTCCCCACTACTTCTCTACCAAGTCGTTTCTCGGACTTGGAGTTGATAGTAGTATTGAGATCGTTTTTCAGTCTCTGGCGTAAATGTCAGGCATTTGAGAGAAAGGGAAAGGCGGCCGGGGTCATGATACAACCGGAGTCCAAGGAATGCGGCGCCCACGTGTACCTGCTGGACGAGAAAATAGGCCCTTCACATAGAGACGCATAAGTGCAGGATGCTGCCGGGACTTGGAGGTAATTCGGAGGTAACTGGCAAGCTACTTGCGGCGTAACTTGCCGGCACTCAAGCGCGGACGAAAACACATCACATGACATTTCCCAGAACAAGGGCAAGGCAAGCTCTTTTACCAAATTCCTCGTACTTGCAAGTAATTGCAGAAATGACTCGATATATGCAAAATATGCGTACGATTCTCTAGCTGCAATTGTTTGTTATGCTCGCATTTGGTGATGGGGAGAGCTTGGCTAGCATGTCCGCATGCAGGCTCGTAACTCCCGCGACCTGGGTCTGCTTTCAATGATTGACTGATCCGTTAATGAACCACGGAAACACCAAACCGACAAGCCGACAAGTGTCGCAGGTTAGTGTCACATTCATATTACAGTTTCTGTGGCGACCGTAGGCATGCGCTTCCGCAGTATCTACACGCGGTACTATCACAAGCGCGCTGAATTCACGCGCATTTACTGCTTCTGACGCGGACTCGATGATACAGCACCCTGTTCGGCGTCGCAGAAGAACGGAGAACCAACTCCTTTGCTGCCTACATACATACAATATTCGTGGCAGTCGGTCCCATATCGGTACATTGCCCTTCGGCGATACTGGAGATAGCCCTCGTCGCAATCATTACTCGCCATTTGAATCAGGCTCACCGTCGCGACTCCGCATGTATCTCGGATTGAAACAGGAAAAGGCCGTACTACTTCAGTCTCGAGTCTCGCCTTCCACCGAGACTGAATTCATTGAATTCCTACATATTCGCGGAGCTGTACCCATCCCTGGGGCCAACTTGGACCGTGGCATCCCAGTGCTCTCCTGTCGGAATAGAACACAACCGATTGGCAAGCGACAGGTACCCACGTATCTCCAGTTATGAATCGTATCAGAAGCCGTGTGTCGGACAGTTGAGGGCTAGAAGTACGTACACTATTCCTCTTTCGACGCCTCCGCCGGCCCTGAAATTCACATCCGCTCCTGTTTGGCGTGACATGCTCAAAACATGCCCAAGCCTTCAGGATTGTACGGAGATTTCGGCTAGCTCAAACTCGCTTTGTTGTCTTGTATTGAGAATATTCGTTGCACAGGAAAGCTGGGACAGTGAGCTTGCGGGTCTCGGTAGTCCGCCTGCCATCCGATTTGAATTGGGGTCGTATGCCAGACTCATCTAGAAATTGTCTGATTCTTGCGCTGCAGTACACCTCGGCTAGCTGAATTTACCCAGGTTCGCTATACAAGCACTCTCAATGGCAGATAAGCCGCTAAGAGGTCTTGGTGCTAGATGAAAATCGCTACTAGCTGTGGAGACCCTTGCACATGACTCCAGTAACTTGATATGAATCACTACTCCAGCGCTTGCTCCATATTCTCAATTTTCTTCATTGCCAACGTATGATCGTTTGATCAGCCAGTTGCGAGAGTTTCGACGTTGTCGCTGTCCTTATCCTCTTCGATTAAAGCGCGGATTTGCATGGTGACATGCGATTACACGGACCCAACTGACGCCACTTTAGTTAGGCGATTAACTAACTCAAGCTAATGGTAACTAGGGATGCCAAGTGAACTCGCTACAAGTTAGAGGCTGTTGCGCATCAGATCCTACCGTTCCATAAGAATTCGCTCACCGAGCTTGGGCCTTTGACTCATCAAATTTTTCCTTGGCAGTCTTTTTGCATCCGGTCAGACGCTGTCCGTAGCGGGCCGGGTTTAGGGGGAAACATGTGAGACAGTCACAGGCTCAGTTTCTCTGGTGCATTCAAACCGCTAGCACCATAAGATCAACAGCTCGTCAGAAAAGCAAAATGGTCCGTCAAGAGGTACTGATCGAACAATCACTCAGCTGATATGTTCCTCTCGTTCTAGGCTGAAGGGCAGTCGGGGCTCCCGCAGGATACGATTGATTTCGCACATCGGATGTTCGATGCAGCTCGTAACGGCGAGTCTGCGACGCTCCTGCAAGCTGTAGATGCTGGATTGCCCCTCAATTTAACGAACGACAAAGGTATGGTATCAATCGATTAATTGACGATTTTCAGTGCTGCCACTGTCAGTCGCAAGCAGAATCTGATCAACGCTGATCAAATGTATTTGCAGGAAACACACTGCTTATGCTTGCAGCTTACGCTGGACACATTGATTTGACTCGTGCACTCATATCCAAAGGCGCGGATCCGAACAGGCTCAATGATAACGGGCAATCGCCTCTGGCAGGTGCTGTTTTTAAGGGAGAAGATGAGATAGTTCGTGTTCTTATGGCCGGCGGGGCTAGTCCTCGCCTGGGTACGCCGACAGCCATACAAACCGCACGCATATTCAAAAAAACGGATGTCCTCGAAATTTTAGGGGCGACAGAAGAAGACATGAAGGACGATATACCTCAGCCTCCTGGTCCTCCTAGCTCCTAGTTTGTTCCGGTTACTAGATCAGCGGAAGAGGGAAAGAAAGTGTGAATTAAAGAGAAGTATGCCAACTATCCAATGTACCGATAGATATACAAATGATAATACTCTAAAGCAGTTCCAGGTAGTCCGAGATCGATGATGGTCCCTGACTCATCTTCCCACACCCATCTCTTTGCCTATCTCCTTGAGGCACTCCTTTACAACTGTCCTTGCATCAAGCTCAATAGGTCTATGATGTACAACGTCGTCCGCGAAGCTACTTTGCGTAACGCTGCTCTTTGTCGCGGAAAGTGTAGTAACTGTGATGGAGGAGCGTAGGGAATCCTTTGAGGACCATATCGATGGCATCTTACGTGGTATTGAGACGATCTCGCAAAGTACAGAGTAGAAATGAAAGAGATGAGCTTTCCGCGAGCGTTTGACAGCATCTGTGATGAGCTGTGTTGGTTGGAGTGACTGATCGATATCTGGCGACATTGTCAGCTTTGCGCGGGATGGGAAAGAGACCTAATTATAGCTTACTCGGCAATTCCTCGCAATACTTCGAAGGCGATTCGGAGAGAGCCGCCCACAATGTCCCCGGCCATAGTTCCAACCGGTGTAGTTTCTGAAGCACATACAGTAGCTCTTCTTCTCGGATTCTGGCCTTCAGGTTAGTTAAGCTCCAGAGGACTGCGCAATCCACTGACCTGGGAAATGGCAGATTCCCTCTGAGAGACTCGTCTGCTATATACTCGACAAGAGTCATCCTACAACGTTCAAGCAGAGTCGGGATACAAAGGGCCGCCACCCGTTTGCGAGACGACACCTTGTCTGAGACGCAACTCAGAAAGGAAAGTATGAAATAAGCGTTCAGACATACCTTTGGCAGTGTTAGAGCAGATGAGAAATAGAAGATCGAAACACCAATATGAAAATCGTTCACGAGGCAGAAAACGTCCGCTTTCTGTAGTACCAATAGTCATATCAGGACTGCCGAACCGGTCGACTTTCTCGAAATCTTGAGATATCCGGTCAGACTCCGGCTTTGGAGCTACAGAGCCCGTGCCCAAAGCAGGGGAAGGAGGGTTCGAGAGATAGCTATCGACCTCTCGTAAGCGACTACCTTGATGGAGTATCTTCGCCAGTTGCACAACGAGATAGTCTGGGATGTGTCCTTCGCCCATGTAAGGAATAACGTCTATCTCCATGGAAGCAATAAGTGCCAAATCAAAATTCTCCTCCGCTTCCTGAACATCCGGCGGGAGAGTTTCAGTTGCGGAGCTGGGGATACACAGGATCAGCTTCTCTGGCTCGATATGAAACTAATTTCCCACTTACCAGTCGGCTAATATTGCCCCCTTGAACGTCTCAATAACTTGCCGCCAGATCGTCTCTTTGCAGTTGCCTGGAACGTCTGGGATCCCACATTCAGCTACCTGATTTGAAATGATACAGCCTCACTCACCGTTTGCAATTTGCTGTATCTGTGGCCCACATTCCCTCACAATTCGTAAGAAATTGTTCGTAGCAGTCTTCCATAGTGGGGGATCCGAGCCAAATTTTGACGGAGCTGGACATTCGTACTTCATCTTCATAGGGATCGCATACGCCTAAAGCAGCGCGAATGAGTCACAACTAACCCGAAAAACAATGAGAGGTTCTGAACGCACTGAAAAAATTCGCTCCAAGGTTCCATCGACATATATCATAGGTTGATCTTTGAATCGAAGGAAAAGATTTACGAGCATCGGCATTACCTTCTTGGATAATGCGATGTAGGTCACGCGCTTCTGAGGGGATTTTGAAGGCGTCGATGAAGAACGTGATACTTCTGCAGATGGGATGTCGAACGCCGCTATGAATGGTAGTGTTGAATATTCGGACAAATCGCGCAAAACTAAAGATGACACCCCCGATGCAGAGAGATTAACATCATCAACGACCTCCATGACAACAGTCTGGGAAATCTGGATTAGGAAACTGCGTCATTGTTAAATAGTAGCATGTTTTACCTGAACTGGGCTTAAAGAGTCAATATCCGGTCTAAAGTCTGGCGAGTCCGGATATGTCAGCACGTCTAAGAGCTTATTAGTCGACATAGATGCAGATATGAATGGAAGTCACCTTTCAAGATAGACATCAGCCGTTCTAGTCGTTCGTAAACCCATTCCTGGTTGTCGATGCTTCTCCCAACAGATCTTACACTTCGGATCACATCCACGAACACCATCAGGCTTTCTTGAGTAAAAGGCTGAAAGCTGCGAGCAGGAGTGGGTGTTACAGCGCCAGCGGGGATGGACGTTTTCGTGAAGATGGCTACACCCATCTTGTCGCACGCCGTCCAGACTCGTTGTAGTGCTCCCACCGTCTTCCCGGCGGAATCGCCTTCCGAGGGAAGGGCCTTAATGGCCTTGTCCAGACATCGGAGTGCAGTTGATGTGACAGCACGACTGTCATTCATCCAGGAGTCCAGTATATGTCCAGCAAACGTGTCCCAAGCGTCCACAAACGATGCCAACGGCATAATTTTTGACGCCAGAAACTCATTGAATATCGAACCGATGGACTGCAACGCCAAAATCTTGGACTCATCCCAGTGGGGGTCAGAGAAGGACCCGCCTTCGTTGGCCAAAGAAACCTGTCGTATTGCGGCTGTGATTGCATCTAGCAAGGGGAACGTAATCTTCCAAACACATTCGTCCCATGTCTCTAAGCTGAGCGTAGCGCCGTAGAGCTGCAGCGTACGAAAGAGCGTTTGAATGGCACCGACGCGAACCTCCGGTCTCGCATCAGTGCACAGCCCGAGCACTTCGACAAGGAGAAACATCCATAAAGCACTGTACTCGGGTTCTTTCTCCGTATCCTTCCGTTTAGCCTGTATTGAGTCTGAGACACCCCACAATAAGCTCTCCGCAGCAGTCAAAGCTATGTTCGTATCCGCCTGACGGCCAAATTGGCCCAGGGTACTGATACATAGCCGAAGGTGTTCCGGAGAAAGTGACGTAAGGGAATCGCAAACCAATGTCAGCGATTGGAACGCGATCTTGACCAGGGAAGTCTGGCCCTTCTCGTTGGCATACCCCAAAGGAAGGGGTTTGCCTCTCGGGGTGTCGGGTGACACAGGAGGTGCAAGGGTTTCCACAGAAGCCGACGGCACCAAGGCAACCGTCACAGGCTTGCAGACGCTGCCCAGCATCTCGAAAATGATTTCCCAACCAACAACAAGCGTGTGCCCAGATGCCTGCAGAATCTGATGCAGTGTCTCGAAGCCCATCCGTCGTACCTCGGTATTTGTGCCACTAACACCAACATAGTCCAATATAACTTGTTGAGCGAGCACTTCCAAAACGCGTCGCTGAACCTTGGGCTGGAGTTCTCCAGTGCTAGATAAATTCCTAGGGACAACAACCAAAATGTCGTCCAGGATCCGCGCCGCTTGGACTCGCACCGCCGCAGGAGCGACGTTACTGCGGATAACGGACAACAGATGACCAGTGATCGGGTCCCAGGCAATGTCTGGGGACCGATAAATCAGCCGATGCATGTTGAGCGTTGCAACTCCACCCAATTTGCTGATCCCGAAATCCCCTGAACGCTATTGAAGCGCGGTGAGTGCATGATGGATTCTATGTATATAGTACACACCAAGGTCCGTGGCAAATGGATCCCACTGACACGCCTACGGTGGGCCAGCTCTGGAGGAGAGAGGCTCGGGCTGGTGACCAGCTCATCCACAGATTCCGAATCCATTAACAACGATTGACTGCCTTCCGACTGCATCCCAATCATGGCAGAACTCAGGCTGCAGAGAGAACTGACGAAATGTCGAAATGCGCCGTCATCCAGATTCTTGGATGCATCGAATAGACGTTGTATCGCATGCTGCATGCTATCCGGATCAAGGTCGGAAAGGAGTGGATGCCGCAAGTGCTGCTGTACTTGGCCGATAGATCCATGTGCCCCACCCGCCTTGGCAGACTGGCCGGCTGCCTGAGAACCACTTGAAGACGCAGTACGGCTACTAGGATGGCTGGTTTGTCCCGAGCCCGTATTGGTGCGTTTAGAGGCAGGATTCTTGGTGCCCCTGAGTGTGAGCACGTAGTCGGCGTTCTGGAGAGCTTCCAGTATATTGAACCAACTTTCATCCAAACTACCTGCAAGGAACAATGCACTGTTGACAAGCACCTTCAGACAAGCCATATTGCGATCAGAAAAACCTGGAGGCTGAGAAGATATGGAACCCGAAAGTGCGAGACCCAGATTCTCCGAGAATGTGCTCGCAGCACTTCGTGGTGTCGTTGGGTCTGTATGTGCCGAAATTGAGTATGAGTCAAGGCTGGAGACTACGCGCGTTGGGATCGCTAGGCGGGCCAGACTCGTAAAGAAGGCATCGCGTGGCGTGGAGAGTCCAAGCATGCCCGCGACAGTTGTGAGCGCCTGATAGCTTCCAAGCACATCAACGAACAACTCATCCGACAAATTAGTCGAGATGAGAAACGACAGCGCAGCAAGGAGTGCGGGCCACCCACTCTCCATCATATCGTGCACAGTGCGTAATTGCTTTGTCGCCGGCTCCTCCGGTGACAGGGAAGCCAAATCCAGGGCCGGGGGTGCGCGTACAACAGGCTCGCCGGCGGCACGAGGCCTTTGGATCATGAGCGAATTGTACAGAGGGCCGGTAAATGAAGCGAAGCCCTCGCAAAGCGCCACAAGGCATTGCACACCCAACAGATAGATGTATGCCTCGGGGATGACAGGAGAGTCAGCCTTGTCCAGCTGGTCGATGCTACACGCTGAAATAAGTCAGATCCGGGTGCTCGAAGCCCACATTGCTCACCATTGCAGCTTCATAGAAGAACCATGCAAGCTAAGGCCCGCTTCGGTGGAAATGATGCTTGCCACGCCAGATACCGTTGCGCTGGCAGCATTCGCGACCATTCCAGCAACGCCCCCAACATCTAGCCCATACCCGCTCAAATCTGACGTCGAGGAGGCGCTCGCGGGAACACCCACTCCAAACATCTGCGTGCCTACTCCAAGCAAGGAGGGCTTCTCGGTTACAAGGCGTTTCAATGACGCGATGAGCGATGTGAAGATTCTCGAACCGCCCTCCTCGGCGTCGTATCGATCCCATATGCTCCGCATGAGCTCCGCGTCGCTACATAGCCTACATAACGGTGAGTGAGATGTAGATGTAAAGACAAGGTGCGTAGAGCACACACCCGCGCATTATCTCCATGGCAAGAACCCTCATCCACAGCGGACGTGATCCTTGTGGGTGTCCAGCCTCGATCATGTCCGCCTCTCCGGTCTCAGACCCGACAATCCTGATGAGCAGCATGAGGAAAACCTCAGATTCTGTTTTTAACTCCGAAGAGAACTGCTTGAGGAGCAAGAATACTACACGTGTGGAACGTAGGGTCAAAGGGAAGCTGGGCCGATCGGAAAGACCCTTAAGCAGCAATGGCGAGAGGTGATGTTGTAATAGAAGGAGCAATTCATCATGCTGAGGAGCTACACGTCAGGCCACCTTGCACAAACCGAAAGCACTGTAAACCGACCTTGCGAAACAGGTCGTGGTAATTGGTGAGGACACTTTCGATCAGCTCCAGGGCAAAAGTTTTGCGTAATATCTCAAGCTTCAAGAACCGCGGGCGCTCCGCATTTGCTAAAAGACATAGATCCTGGAACACCGCGAACGCATCCTGAGCTGACGGTCCAAGCGATTTAACGTCCCCGTTCGGCAGCGTCGTCTCCACCATCGCAGTAACGTCGACAATATCACGCCGATCTTCATCCACGACTTTGTCCACCACGAACATCACCAGCTGGCGCAGGGTCGCCGCCGCCGTAGATGACACCACGGCGATGCGCGATTCCTGTAGCTTGAAACACAACAAAAGAGCCTGTCCAGCGACGTCAGATTAATTCAGTAGCAAGCTTCCAACAGCCTACATCACCCAGTAGTCCGCCGTGCACAGCGGGAAAGTTCGTGATAAGCGAAAGGAGAGTCTGAAGAATACGCAATTGAATATCCACTCCCTGGTTCATGCAGTCGCTCATGGTATTGATTATGACCGGTACCCCCGAGTGGGGCACCGCCTTCAACGCGATGAGGCGTTGTAACGAGCCGAGGGATATGGCAACGACTTTGGCGTTCCGAGTTGCGCAGCCCATGAAGACCGGGCGTAGAAGGTCGTCAGACTGGGGCCCATCTGTTATACTATGAATGTTCGTTCCAGTAAAGAAAAAAAGTAACGTACCAGAGGCAAGGCTTGCTGTTGCTTGCTCTGGAGACGAGCGAAGGATAGCCAATGACTTTTCCGCGGCCTTGAATGTGTCGTACGAGACAAGACGGTGATCTCAGCATTCGGACTGCAGCACAGAGGAGCGGAGACAAGCACCTCGCGGACATCTGGATGCTTCCTACGTGTCTCGCTTGCTAACGACTATGCGTGGCCATATGAGCTGTATAGTTGAAAGACGTTCCAGCACGCACCTGCAACTCCGTGACTAGAAATGCAAGAGAACTCATTTTGTTCCTACGAATGGGCGCGAGGACGCAGTTCTCTAAACGCTTTCAGCCAAGAGAGCCTGCTCCAGGAAAGATTTAAAACGTTCAGCGTAAGGTCGTTACAGAAGAGTTCCGAGACAAGCTTCAGCGAAGAGGCCTGCACCGAATAGTAACGTCGCCGCAGTCACATCTCAGACGGACACGTGTCCGTGACAGTCGCGGTAGTCACAAAACGGGATATTGTGACAATACGCGTCCTCGTCACGTAGTCAGGCTGATACTAGCCTTTTGAACTGCACCGCATCGCAGTGGTGAGGAGACAATCATGATGGGCAAGCCTCCGACATACAACAGCCTAGCGACATTTGAGAACGACCCAGCAAGAAGTGATTATCTTGACAAAGCAAAAGAAAGAATGTACGTTGACCGGATATATCGTACAATGGCCTATATGGCAGAAACTCATAGAAGTATGTCGTTAGTTACTAGCTATGAGCCGGTTATGATTTACAGTCAACTCTTCACACTGAGTGGTTGCCAGCCTCGGGTCAGCTGCAGGATTACACTAAACTAGAGTAGGTGAAATACACTACTATGCATGGCACTGCGATCGACGTCGATGTTAAGACGAATGACATATACACAGCTTAGTAAATCTATGCTATATGGTTCAACATCTAACGAAATCTGTGCAATAAGAATAAGTTATGACTGGACAGTTGGTACGACGCCTCGAAGATGTTCCGGGACCAGCTCTGGAGGTAGCATAGCGATCTGATCCAGCGAAGCCCTCTTCGCCAATGCTAGCAAATTCATCCTGAGCTGTTTCATCAGCGAGTCTTCCTCTCCTAGGCCATCCGACTGTACAGCGTCTTCATCCACTACCATCTCCACATCGACATTCTGTTCATCCGCCAGCGGCAACCGCCGAAAAGGCTCCCTGCCCTCCTGTTTGACTTCAGCGATGCCGCCCACAGAAGCGGTCCTTCTGCTGATCTCAGCTATCGCATCGGCTGCACAATCCAGCACATGTTGCAGTAGGTCTGAATCCTCCGGCACATCGCCCTGCTGCATCTGTCCTTGCGCTTCCTGGTGCTTTTCGATCGCATATTTCAAATACGCCGCCGCGTCCCGCTCCAGCTCCTTCTCGCGTTCTGCCTCTAGCTGCTGCTTCCGCACATCGCGGAACATCTTCCCCTCCCAGACCTCCTCGACTTGCAGGAGCTCCTCCGGGCTTCGGATCAACGGCGCCATGTCGATCTTCTCTTGCAACGTTTGTCGCAGCTCATTCAGCTCTCGTGCCACACGTGGGTACGTTTTCAGGCATGCGTCCAACTGAGCGAGGATGGTTGGATCAGTTGACAACTGCGGGTCGTGTAATCTGCGTGCCGCCCCACTCAGGACCCGATGGCGACCATCTGTGAGTGGCTCAACAACGTTTTCTTCCACCCATCGAGCAAGAGGCATGTCGAGGGCAGGATGTCCGAGCGAGACACCCATGTCTTCCTGCGGGGACTCGTGGAATATGAGCAAAGGACGAGCAGCATAAGTGAAATAAACTCACTAAAGGCTCAGGCGATCGTACGAACTCCGCAAGACTGCGCACATACGCCAGCCCATCGACGCCACCATATACTACGTCTCTCAAATATTCTTCCGCCCACTCCGCCGTCCCCTGCCAAGGATTATCCGTGTCCAGCATATCGACAGATGGCAGCTGAGAGCCTGCCTGCCTCCTTTCAACACTTTCTCGTATCGCATCCAGGAGCTTCTCTTCAGAGCCCAGCTCGATCTCGATATCTTCCACATGTCTTTCCGCCCCAAGTATGCCGGTGAGTGGAGCGAACGCGCCGTAATCTCCTGCTGTACTTTCCCTTTGTACAGGTCCCACAACACCTTCCTCTTCGTCGTCGCGTTCCTTCGGACGCCCACGCGTGGGTGCATGCGAAATCAACCAATGCCGTCGACGCGGCTTTGCCTTCGCCTTTGAGACGCCGGTCAGGGGTGTAGGTGCGAGTGAAGGTAGAAATGGAATCGCCTCAGGGTCCGCACGTACATTAACTGGGATGAAATTTGCCTGATCTTGTTCGGATGGAGGATATAATGCAGCGAGTATCGGACGAGTCGGGGCTTCCGGGACAAAAAACGATAGTACAGAGAACGGATTCTCCACTGTGACAGTAATTTCAGCAACGCAACCCTGGCAGATCAAACATGTGTTCGTACAGTCTGCGTAGTCCAAACTGCCATCCGCACGGTATGGCGGGCCACCCCGCTCCATGCGCATCCGCTCTTTCTTCGTACGAAATCTCCTGCCTTAAGAGCGCGAGAGCCTTAAATCCGGCACGGGTACGGAGTACAGAATGGCCCACCTTTGAGCTTCAACGACAACATCAGTTCTGCCCATTCCGATCCCGGTGGAAATGCACCCAGTCCATCTTTTGCTCCAGGCAAACCCCCGTCTTGCTCCAAACTGGCTGACAATGCCCCTGGCAGCTTCTTTACGCCACCACCCCCTACGCGTCGTCTGCCCATCCCTGGTTGTGTTGGTGTCTGCGCAACAGGTGTCTGCAAAGATGTGACCGACGCAGTATCGTCTACGTCCATTGGTGTCCCTTTGTCCGTCACCCCTAGATCCGGCTCCTCGTTGTCATCTCGCTCGATCTCGATATTCCAATCTGTCTCGTACTCAATCACACTGGCTGCGGCTTTGGTGATGTGTTCCAGTCCCCAGGCCTCAATCCGCTCCGCCTCAGTGTGATAGATGGTTCCAGGAGGGTTGAATAGCTTGGCATTTGTGGTGACTAGCCGTAGATCATCCTGAGGAGTAATCATTAATATATTAAGCACAGAATGTATAAGGACAGACCCACAGCAAATTCCTCCAGCGAACGGTACTTCCCCCTCTCCACTTTCGTAGTCATAGTACCAAGGTCCATAGGCCGCTTGACGACATCTGTATACCCTGCCACTTGGGAGGTATCCACAGGGTGCAGAAAAAAGGCATAGTCATCCTTCCTAGGATTATGGTGAGGAGAAAAATCAAAACAGATATGTCTTCCTCACTTTTTGATTTGCACAATCAGCTTCGTAAGCACCTCTCTTAATGGCTTGAGCTTGACCGGCCTCGGAGGTTTCTTCACCGCTTCATCCTGCCAGAGATGTTGGCCCTTTTGTTTCTTCTTTCCCTTCAATGCCTGGACTGTCTTAAGAGGCGGTAATACAAGCCGAAGACCCGTTCCACTGCTGGTACTGGCATGAAGCGGACTGCCTGTGGAAGAGTAGTCGTCCATTTTGTTCCACACAGTTGGAACTTAGACTGACGAACTGAACCTAACAAAGCGTAACTAATTTCTGCGTAAACAGATAACTTCCTAAATTAGGCATTATATCCCTTTATGGAACGTTAAGTACACTTAATATTTGTATATGGCAGGTTTTCTGCCTTGTCCAGGCCTGCTCTAGCACCAGCTTCGCAAAGATTGAAGCTATCTACTTTACCCGGGCACTCTGCCGAGCATCTATCCCAGTCTTCGCAGCTCCGTTTCGGTCTGACGCTTCTTATGAAGACAGCACAAGTGCCGCCATTTGCTACAGGACAGATACTCTACGTTTTCTCAACGCCAACAGACTAAACTTTATCATTCCTCCCCTCATGGATTACAGAGCCATCGACAGGAACGCCTACACGATCGTGACCCACCTTCTAGGTCGGCTGCTCCGAGACGAGTTGAATTGGCTATCAGACTCAGATATCTATGTATAAGACTAGACGACCTTCATGCTACCAGTGTCCTGCACCGCCTTTAAATCCTAAAGTATTGATGGAAAAGATATGCTTGACCGAGTTCACGTCGATTAGAAACAATCAAATTGGCATCCGTTGCATTGGCAGCTCCCTGCACCGTGTGTGTGGTGTTTGTATGGGCGAACATAATATTCCTGCCCGAGAGGGGCTGGCGTCTATAAGACTCCTTTGTTACGATCACGGTAGCCAGGTATGTACCTGCCATCTGATGTGGCGTGTGTCGCATGGCTGATTATACTTTTCCTTCTGTCATTAAGAAAAAATGTCTAACGTACTAACGACTTTGCTTAACGATATATATCCGCGCGAAGATACTAGAATCGGATTGTTTGGTTGCATGGAGCGCGTGAGTATCTGTCAGCAGGTATGATAGGCACTGGGGTGGGTACAAATCATGCTTGCGCAAGTGGACTACGATCAAGTGTGTCAGGTTGGATTGTCCCTGTAAACGGTTTTGATTCTTCCCATTCTAGTGCCAGCTGAACTGAGGATGGTTCAGGATCATCCCAAGTTCTAAGAGGGCGGGGGCATAACTTAACTACTGCATCATGACAGCGTAACACTACATAGCCAAGCTCCGATTATCGAATCATTGCGCAGCAAGCTTGCTTGTCCCATTGCGGCCCGATGCACTTTGGATTGATCTCCATGATGGAATTGCGGTGTTGCATTCTTGGTGCAGTACGGGTTGCAGAGACACGAGCATTGGAGGAAAATGTCGGAACGGTGGCTCCTGTATGCGGAGCTCGAATCTTGGATATGATTCAAAGAAATGAAACGTTGCAGCAACTTTACGCTTGCGTTCCTTGCGACAGGTGAGCGCTCCGTGGACGAACCACGATTAGATAAAGGGAATCACCGCAAGTAGTGGAGCATCCAGAGGCTTGGCGGAGAGAGCGCTCCTATTGCTCGCAGCAGGGACAGCCTCATTTCTCCGCCACACCAAATCCCCCACCTCGACACGACACCAGCGGCAGAGTCCCCAGCGTTGCCCCAGGCCACCAGCTTCGCTTGGACACTCGCCTGCCCAAGGTCTCAGAAATATCTTGGCCGGGATTAATGACGATCCTCAAATTGAACATCACTGCACGTTATGGTTTGTTAGTCTTCTTGATCCTGGTGGGTGGCCAGTTCTTTGTTGATTCTGCGTGACTGGCTATGTCTTCGAGGTCTCGAGAGTTGGACTGACGAGTTATTCGGCGTCAGATCGGCCTGCATTCTATTCTTAGGTTTACGCATGAAGACTACGAGCGAGCGACGTCTCTCTCTACCATCGCGTCCAAAATATCTGGTTCCTGGGACGCGGCCCCAGCTGAGCTTCTCTACCACCCACCACTGGTGCCAGATTTGGATCCTCATGGGAATGCTACGCAGCGGGCGAACGCCACGCTCTTGATGCTCGCGCGCAACAGTGACGTCGAAGGCGCGGTGCGCAGCGTGCGCGAGGTGGAGGACCGCTTTAATCGCCGGTGGGGATACCCGTGGGTGTTCTTGAACGAAGAGGCGTTCTCGGATGAGTTCAAACGGTGCGTCCCAGCCCACGTTCGGACAAGCCGATCACGTCCGTCGGCTGCACGATCAGTACACGAGATGGCGTGGGATACTTACCTCGGTCGACAGACGAGTCGGAAACATCGTCTCTGGGCCCGTCACGTTCAGTCTCATCCCGCGCGAGCACTGGTTCCAGCCCGACTCGATCGACGAGGAGCGTGCACGCGCAAGCCGGGAGAAGATGGAGCAGATGAACATCATTTATGCCGGTGCGTGTGCTCCCGCTCGCCCATTCTCCGATCGCTGACGGTCCGCGCGGAGTCCACAGGGAGTGTATCGTAAGTTCAGTCGCCGATGATCTGTAACATTCAGCACTTACGCGAGCAGGTACCGGAACATGTGTCGCTTCAATTCAGGGGTGCGTCCGGGCTCTGTCCTTGCTCGGGCTCGTTCCTATATCTTTTCATAGTTCTTCTACCGCCATCCTGCCCTACAACAGTATAAATGGTACTGGCGTGTCGAGTGTGTACCCTCCAGTATCTGCATTTATACCATAAGCGCTCACTGCGTCATGCATGCCAGGCCCGATGTGCATTTTCACTGTGATATCAACTTTGACCCGTTCCGATACATGGAAGACCACGACAAGGTCTACGGTGTGTGGGACTGCACCGTATCGCACTCGATATTGCTGACGCGGCTGTAGGCTTCACCATTACGATGTACGAGTTTGAAGCGACAATCCCGACCTTGTGGCAGACAGTCAAAGGTTGGCACGCTCATGTATGATTTCTCACCCCAGCTGACGATGCTGTAGAGTTCGTCCGCGACCACCCACAGTATATTGCTCAAGACAATGCTATGAACTATCTCTCAGACAACAGCGGAGACACTTACAACCTCTGTCATTGTACGTTTTCTGCCGTTTCCGCTCTAGACTGACTTTTGACATGACGATCGTCAGTCTGGAGTAACTTTGAGATTGCAAACATGGACTTTTGGCGGGGAGAGGCATACTCGGCGTTCTTCGACTACCTCGACTCGAAGGGCGGATTCTACTATGAGGTGAACACCGTTTGGCCCGAATGTCTGTACTTGATGCATTGGCTGACTGGGTGTGCTCGTGCAGCGGTGGGGTGATGCACCCGTTCACAGCATAGCAGCGGCGCTCCTCGCGCGAAAAGATCAGATCCAATTCTTCAACGAGATCGGATATGAGCACAATCCATACACACACTGCCCGCGCGGATCGGACGCATGGGAGCATGGGCGCTGTACATGTAATCAAGACAGAAACTTTGGTTTGATTTGGTTTCTCTCTCGCAACTGCAACTTTCTGACACGGCGTCGTGTAGATTATGACGGGTACTCCTGCATGCGCCAGTGGGAGCGCATTCAATGAACTGCCCGGTGCGTCAAGGATATGCGCCAGTCAGATTGGAAGAAAAGTGTACAATACACGAATAGAGCGAGGTTGGGACGAGATTCAGCCAGTATATAGCGTCGACCGCATCTAGTTAGCATAATTTATTCCCCTTCTGCTTTGACACGCAGTCTTTATGATCATTGACTAGTCGATTGTTCTGCCGCTCGATCTAGCGAGGTGGCTGGAGGCTCCGTGTGATTTGTTTCGTTGCTACCTTTCATTTTGAGCGGCTAGACAGGATACTCGCAGGAAGCGGGAGCAAGGTTGGAGGAAATTTCTTTGAAAGAGAGCTACGATCATGGACCTCAATCTTTTTGGTGAGGTGCTCGCAAATGTCACGATCCAGTGCTAACAGATCTTCGAAGCCGGCCATAACAGTACGCCCAAACGTGGCGTACTCTGCTTCGAGGTCGATGAGGCCGTTGAAATGCTTTGCACTGCGTGGCTGTAATATGTCGCCGCTCGTTATAAACAGTGAGATCACATACCTCTCAGCAAAAAGTCGCTGTAAATCTTCTGCCGCCTCATTGAGGAGGGCATCGCGGCCAATACGCACGTCCTCTCGTACGCCCTGAAATTTCCTGGTAATCTTGTCCAGAATTGCCTAATAACTACTTGAGCGGAAGCTCACGGATGAATCGATCATCAAAGGTCTACCTGGTTTAGCTCGTCCAAAACCTGGACGATACTGTCCATGTCTCCTTTCTTGCCTGTAATGCCATTTTTAGGCTTCCGCTCGTGTCCAACTTCCTTGCGCAACACTCTTCGTTTAGTGTCCATTCGCGGTCCTTTGAGTGGGCTGCGCGAGACTTGCCAAAGGACTAAGTATGAACTCCTGGATTTAACAAGCTGCAGCGACATACTCCGCGTGACCTTTTCAGGTTCATCATCTAGAATCCACTTCGAAAACGGCAAGTAAGGAGATGGCGGTGACGGCGATCGTTCTTGTACCGTCTTAGCAAAAGTTACTGTGTGCTTCTGGCGGGCAGTTTTGATGCTGGACGTCAGTGATGAGTCTGGAGCTATAATCTCGCGGCGAGGAGTAGATTGCGAGTACTGCGAAGGATTGAGCGCTGCAATTTCGATGACATCGTGGGTAGGCGAGTCGCAACGGGTGGGGGGCGACCGTTTATTCGGAGATTCGTCGAACGTCAGGTCAATCGTGACAGGTATCTTGGGCCGAGGAACGTTGAATTTCGTGGGAGGCTTGCTCACAACAGGCCGATTCTATACGTGCTTCGTCGTGAGTGTAAGCATTTATAGATTATAAAGTGTCCTTTACCTGTAGCAACCTAGCGATTGGCTCTTGTTCTTGTGTGGCTAGTTCCTGCCAGTCCTCGGCGTAGACCTAGCGCAATATCCATCCACTTCGGCGTTATCATACGATCAATATGGGCTTACCGTCGTCAGGTTTTCAACAAAGACATTCTCAGGGAAAGTATTATCAGGCTGCTCCCTTTCCGAAGAATCCACTGGTGGAGGAAGTTCCTTCACGATGTCGTCCAAATCACCTGCAATATCGTGGAGAGTGTTCTTTGTGACAGGGCTACAATTATTGACGAGCTGAGGCTCGGAGATTGTGTTAGTAGCAGGCTTAACAGACATGACACCTCTTCTCGAGTTAGCCTGCGGCTTCTGAACAATGGTATGGGCCTAAGATTACGCATCGTCCAGTACATGAAAGTTTTATTTGATTGCGCGTACCCACCTTTGAGACGTATTCAGTATTTGTTGCTAGAGCTGCGGAAACCTTAGAGTAGCCACTCTCTATCTCCGTCGTTGTGACCAGTTTTTTTCGCCAGTATGAGATATAATTAGGAGGCATTCAAAGGCAGACCTACTCGTGGTTCAATTTGTTTCGGCGGAGCCACAGCTATCTCTTTGTTCACGGCCGTTCTCGTCCTTGAAGCTCTGTGGGAGATTGATATCGCTTTTTCACCTTGTGCTGAAGTTGGCGGAATGAATATCCCATTTTTGCACTCGCCCGACGAATCCTGTAGCGCGTCATCGCCCACAAGTGCTGAATGCGCGATAAGCTGGTTATCGTCCTTCACCTCATTATGCGAGACGCGATTTTCCGCCTTTACTACTGATGAAGGGGCTACCTTCTTGCTCCTCAAAACAGGTTTCTTACGATTATGGGGAGAAGCAATCAGAGCGTCAGAGGACGTAGGGAGAGGGTCAGCAGCCACCTCGCCAGGCAAAGCATCGTAATCAACATCTTCAACCATAGGGGCAGGAGAAGAAGTTCTATCCTTCTTGCCTCTGTATTTCTTCATGGCTCTAGCAGCAGCGGCCCGGCGAGGCCGCAGGACTTGCAACTTCGTTAATTCCGAAGGGATAGCTTTGGAAGAGGTTTCCGAGGCTCCCTCCACTGTATGAGGCCTTTTAGCACTGGACGGTTGAGCTTGCTGGTCGGGCGCAGTAGCCTCATCGTCCGCCGGAGCTCGTTTTCTCTTGGAAGCGCTGACATGAGACGGATCTTGCACCGTCTTCGAAATGGCCTGGTCTTTCTTGCGCAGGCCAGCCTTGACTGATTTGGGCCCGGTTGCGACAACAGGGACCGGTGAAGAATCGACGACTGTTTTTTGTTAGCAAACAAAAAGTAATAAAGTTTGAGTACATGCTTTTACCGTTCACGGCGGGGAAGCTCCCCAGCTTAAAATCGACTGCATCATCAACCACTTCTTCAGACCGATCATTTGTGACATTCTCGACCTTCGCGAGATTATGAACAGCGAGATGAACAGATTCAGTCGAGCCGGCAGTAGCAGAAGCAACCTTAAGATCACTAGATTTGACACACACTGTCAGACGGTTATCAGCCTGTCCAAGAACCAGTTTCAGATTCGCAGAAGTTGCGGTTTTCTTGCGTTCTGCCTTAGATACTACCGAGCTTTCCAGAGGGGCAGTCGACGCTTCTCTAGTGTTGATAGAGGCAGATACATTCCGCTTCAGAGAAGCCCTCGTAGACGGCTTACTAGGAGTCACAGGTACCAGATTCAAGCGCTCCCGGACAGGTGGCGGTGTAACAAACGCCGGCTGCGTAGATGGCCCGCTTTCGATCTCGTCTTCCGAAATAACCCCCCCACAGAGAACGGCTTTCTTCTTCGTTCTTCCTAGTTTGGACAAAATATCTTTTCCAGCCTCGATCACAGATGTAGCCTCATCGTCAGAATCCAGTATCCGTTTTGTAACGACCGGCCGAGTACCAGACGGAATAGAGAAAGAAGATTCTTTTGTTGTAGCCCGAGTAAGAGTTATCGGCTTTGTCTTGGAGCTGGCAGAACGAATAGGAGTTGGCGAGGGTTCCATATCTGAGATCTCGGACAGTTCCTCGCCACTAGCGCCAAAAACCTGTTCGCGTATTCTCTGCGATTTAGTGCGGCTGAGAGCAGCATTTGTCTTCTTTGAAGCCAGCTTTAGGGACGCAGAGAATGGGCCAGTCTGGGCGGCAGATACAGCAGAGGAAACCGATAAAGATTTTGACGAAGCGTGAGCAGGAAGCGGAGAAGGCTGACGCGGTGGCGCCTCAGTCTTGCTAATTTGTATACTTCGGTCTTCGGGCAGTTCAGATATTACCTTAATAACCGGATTGGAAACTGCGGAAGCTGGCGGAACAGAAACATCTTCGCCAGTAGATAGAAGGACGACGGATCTCACGCTGGCACCATGCGCCTCTAAGTGTTCAGAAACCCGCAGATCATCACTACTCTGGTTGGTTTGATAGACTAGACGCAAGAAGCAAAGCAATTAGTCATGACCGCGAAGCGAATGAGAAAAATTGGGTAACTCAAGGCGTTAGGCTCACGTTTTGCTACATTCTCAATACGCTGGCACGACCAGGCGTGCGGTCAGGAACTACAAACAGAAATCACAGAAAGCCTAAAGTGACACACCTCATGCTGCGACAGCTCTTGTAACGGATTCCCTTGACTATCAAATTCAAGTATCGTCGATGAATCTGCGAGAGAGAGCTTTGGTGGAACAATTTCTTTCAAGCGCTTTTGCTGATGATGCAATAGCAACGACGTAAGTTCTCTCTCTCCTTCACGATCACCCAGGAACACCCACTAGATTTCTCCCGCGAATAGCATCTGTGAATCTTGTTACCTCTTCACTTTTGATCTTGAACGTGATCGACCAGGTTGTGCACTCTCCAGTGATATGCTTACATATAGGGTCTCTCCCTAACAAAGGGATTGCGGTAACAACGACCCTTACCTGAGCGCCCTCTTTCGCGTCATCATGGCGGTCGCGAGTGATTTCGAACTTGTGAACGGTAGGGTACGGGATGTTCAACGTGTCGTATTGATCATCCTGAGAGAATAGGACATTGGATGACGCACAATGCGCATATAGTCAAGTCAGGGATCCTAACCGCATGGTTTCATAAATGACTTACACCATGCAGTACATTCGCCACTAGTGCCTTATCATCCACAAATAGTCTGTCCGACTGTTTGATTTGGCCGCAGGCAGATACCTCATCTACTGTAAAAGGTTGAGGACTGCATGAAATTACATTAGGGATGCACCATTTTCCCGGAGCAAGTGTGACACTCACAAAGCGAGACTGCCTTTAGACAGGGTATCGACTATTTTCCTGGAAGTTACGTCCCAATCCGCAGAAGATACATTCTCGAGGATGTCAGCGACAGTCTTGCCGAGGCTTCCGACTTCTGGAGACTGGGATGCTACAAATACCGACTGTATGAACATGGTTCGCTTAGTTCTACCAGAGGACGCGTCTCGGATGGATGGCAGAAGTCGGGCGAATAGGGTAAGGAGACTCTCCAACGCGAGATAATCTACGTAAAACTGTCAAAACATGGACTTTTCACATCAAGTCAATTATGATTACCTCTGGTTCGCCAGATCACTCGTCCAATCCGCTCACTAGAATCGATGAGTCCCAAACGTGAGCATCACATATTTGGAGCGCACCCTCCGAGGATATCGTCGTTGCGAAGCTTTTTCTGATTGCCACCATGCGAGACAGCCGAATCGGAGAGGAGGGTGTATGCCTATGAGCGGCATAGATTGGATATATGTGAGTGTATGCACACAAAAGAAAGGCTATCTTCCTTCATATATACAATCACTCACCGTACACCTCAGGTTCACGCTCATCATCGGCGCTGTCAACGAGAAACACAAGTCACACAAGATCGGATACAATGCTGTGGCGATTGCATCCTTGGCTGTGATACTTCGGACCTCATCTAAACCACTTATCAGGGAAGCGTTGGGTAATGTTTTCGAACAACCTACCATTCTCCGCTTCTTCAAGAAAGTCCTATCTAATCATCAATACCAACTCATTCACATCAATTCGACTACACACCAGTACGCCTGAAAGAAGGGAGTTCAAGACTTCCTCCCAGAGCATCTTCTGCTCCTGCAATTGCTCTCCAAGTGCTGGTAAGACCTTTTCGTGGTAGATCGTGTGGAATAGTGCGGCAACAAGCTGTAAAGACGGAAGAGGGAAACCCGCATACACAGGTATGAAAGATTTACGAAAGCTGTCGGCTAGTTTTATTGACGATTTTGGAGTAATTTTCGACTGGTTCTGTCCTATATATATAAGCGATAGAGACACAGCATACCAGAACCTTATCTTACAAGAAGTACGAGATGCGAAGCACAATGATTGACTGTTTCCGTGTAGCTTTTCTTTCCTTTAACACGAGACTTTTCAACTGTCTTCTTCAATTCAGCTAGCGCGGCATCGATGAACGTCATTGGACACGACTACCAGTTTTTAGCGTACAAGCAAGTTGGTGAGTGTATCAAGGATACCTTGGATTCTGAAGACCATGGCACTTGCAATTTGAATGAGCAGAAACGCGACATGTCACAGGCACGTGACTGCAGAATAACGGTGCGCATCGCTAGTACGCGCCGAAATCCAAGGCTTCGTCGATCTGATTCATAATTCGTAACATCAATGAGTAGGGTATGAAGCCATCATATTACGCAGTTTTATTCTCATGGACCACGTTTCGCCAAAGACTCTTTCGAGAATTCAGTGAAAATGTCGACTGAGGGTAATGATATTGAACCTCGACCAGTATCCCGACAAAGCTGGTCAGAGACACGAGAAATGTGACACCTACGCGGGCACTCCTTTACTAAGCCGCCTTCGCTGACCCAAAATGCGTCTTCAATCCCCACCAATTAGTGGACTGAGGCGCAGCAGCGACGGCGGACCATCCGCCGTCTTTTCCCGTGAAAGCCCTGCAAAGCCCCTCAGCATGTTTCGCCCACTTCCGCGCCTCCTCCATATTTTCTAAGGCACAATAAATCTTGCAAAGGCGCTGATAGCACACTGGCCAACAGTCTTCGACGTAAAGGCCTTCTGCTTCCATCGCTAGTGCCACAGACTCGTATCTTTTGATAATGATATCGGACGTGGCATCAGAGCTCTTCAACCACGCGTTTAGCTCAGCATCGTCGTAGGGCGTGTCTTGAATTCTCTTCATTACCGCTCTCCGCGCTTCACTGATTTTCAACTCCTTCCCGGTCAGTGAGCAAGCAGGGCATGCACATTGGAACGCCCATTTCTGTACCATTTTCCAGCGTTCACTACGCGGGCAGACGAGGTTGCCATAACCGATAGTAATCTGCTCGCCCTTCAGTATTTTCTTGAGCGCACGAAGTTCGAAGGAAAATGACATCAAATCCCATCGATGGCACGCATTTGGAGAGCAACTATTCGCCGAAAAGGTCAGTCGACAAACTCATTCATAAGGTCAGTGAAGCATACCTATGATTGACTCGAGAAATATCCTTAGAGACGCCACAGCAAAACCCATCATACCCCGGCAATTTCCCAACAGGCAGAGAGTTCGTGTCCAAGATATTGTTGACGAGTGGCACGGTGTTGCCCTTGCATTTGTGGAGAGAAAGAAAGGCGCGACGACCATCCTCAGACATCATTTGATAGACTGCAAGCTCCAAAACTTGGTTGGGATGCAGATCGCCATCTCGCAAAGAGATCGGCATATACGCCGTACAGACCATAAGAGGTCTCTCGCAGGCAATGAGATCTCCAGGATCCAGGTCCACGGTCGCAAACATGCCTAATCCCGCTCCTTCAATTGAATCCAGTCTGTACACAGAGGGAAAAGGAATGGCTAAAGGCGCAGGGAAACCAGGAGTTGCAAGTATTGCTTCCTTCATTCCTTGAAATAATATGCACGTAACTGAACGTTCGCCCCGCAGACATTGCGAGGGTAAGGGCAGACTCGTGATAACGCGATTGGTAGCCGAAGGCAAAAATCCGACATCAGGAGTATTGATATAAGACGGAAGTGGACCTGAGGGTATCGCAATTGAACCCTTGGAGACGTTAATGATAGGCCTCGCTGATTCCTGTGTCGACTTGTTCACTTTCTCGTCCAGGCAGAGGGACTTTTGCAGCAAGAATCCGCGGCGCATTGAGGGCTAAACGGAGGGAATACGAATGCGTAAGAAGAAAGGAGAGACGCGAAGGTCGATTCGCATTAGACATCATTTTCCAAGGGAATCGCAAGTAGATGTGCGTATCGATTTGACACGATCGTAAGTACAATGGCCTAGATGGGCAGTATTATTGTCCTGCATGGGTCATTGCGTCCACGTGCGAAGCACGGCGGAAGACACCAGTGCCAGAATCGCTCAGTCCGCCACACCCAGGTTCCAGATACACTGGATGCTTTTCATTGCGACCAGTGTTGCCCTCTCGAAGAGTAGCAAGGTCGGTACGGCTCTGATCTCAATGAAGATTCCCAATGTTCGAGCTTCAAGCTTCAAGTGTCGCTGTGATACCCTGACTCGGAATCAAGATGATAGACACAGACTAGCGGGCCAAGAGCCAGTAGCACTCCAATGGAGTATGAATGGCATGTGCGACGACTACGTACACACTTGTATTCAGCATGATGAAGACTGCAATAAATGAGCGTGCCACACCTGCAAGATGAGAGGACATACTCGTGTGAAGGTAGATGACGTAGCAACAATTAGACAGAGTACGCAGAATTGCGTCTGAATCATGGAGTATATGCACCACGAAGTCTGAGAAAGCCAAAAGGCTTATAGAAGACCACTTCCAGCAGTCAATATTCAATCCCCGGGCATTTGAGATACGAGCTGAAGTTTGATCAAGATTGTATATTCTAATCGCTGAATCAGACATGCACTTCTGAGGACAAGCTACAGAGTACAGCCAGCTGGGATGACAACGATGGATTCTGGAGCCACTACTGGCATACCCTCTCACCAGCCAAAAAAACCGTGGCCCTGCTGCTCGCACCGTCTTTCTCACGTCGAACGCGTACCGAGACACCCGGAAGCTGGTTGACCGGCCTTAACGTGGTCTGCGGTATAGGCGGGGAGATGGGGGGTACCAGAGATGGGCCCGGTGAGGGGAAATGGCATGATCCACAGTCACTCATGGTTGAGTATATCCGGTGGTTACCACGCTCACAGAACGGCGGTACCCACAAGGCGTACTGGTATCCAGTCTCAATATCTCACTGCAGGCTGGTAGACGTGTACTGAGAACCAGAGAAATAATTTCGCAGCTGAAAAACAAGTCTTAGCATCAAGTTCAAAGGTATACATAGTGGCGCAGGACATTGGGAGCATGAGTCGGCGACGTGTAACGCAAGAGTCACATGATGTGACATATGTGACACCATCGCTGAGCCTGAGTAAAAACTGACTACTGAGTACCACTCCTGGTCCACTCCTGAGTGGGTGCCGGCTGCTTGATGTCTTGCCTCAGTTGTGCAGTGCGGCAGTGCTACCTCGAAAAGCACGATGTGGTTATTCTATCGGCACACAGCGTATGACTTGATCGACGGTTCACATATCTCCATCCTACGGTTTCGTTAAGGTTTTTACGGGATCGTCGATGAAAGTACACGTAGGGGCTGCAGCTGGTTCTACACGGTACGCCATCGCCTAGCCTTATCGCGCTATCACCTGTTTTTGTGTCCACATTGCTCCCCGTCTCTTTCGCCTGGACTGCAGAATAGATAACGTATTTGCGGGACACTCCTCCCATCTAGCACAGGGCTCGACCCTCACCTCCGTCTACTCTATTGCCCAACTAACCCAATAGGGGCATCTACGCGTTATTAGTGCTGTCTTCTGACAGGTCAATCTGCGCTTCGGTCCGGTGAGCCATGCTATTTGTCTGGTCAGTCAGATCGCGGAACATATACACAACTAAGACCGTAAACCATGCCTCAACTTGGGTCAGCACGAGTGGTAGATTGTACGTCTTATCGAGTTCAGTTTGTCTCCGTCGATTCGCGCTCGGGGTCTAATGCCTCAGATGGTCACCGTAGTAGGCTACTCTTCTCGCAGATCACCATCTGCACGCGCAGGAAGCACATACTGTAAACTTATTGCTGTTCTTTCAGTACTGCACTTTTGTGGATTCTTACATGGGGACAATCACTTCAGTTTAGTGCTCGTTGTTCCATTGTGATTTCTTGCTCGAGCCCTATTATTTGTGAGATGTCATAACGGAGAGGTGCGTTTTGGGAAGATCGTCGAAGCTCGCTATCTGCGCATGCGAGCGTTCCGTTGACGAAATACTTGGGAATGACGATGATCCTAAGTAGGGTGCGTGGCATTCTTTACTCTACATGGACATCGAGCCGCTTCATTTCGGCCCATGCTCAGATGTTTCTGGTGGACAGCTTGTCGTAATTGTATGTCTCGGACGTTTACCGCTTTGTTGACACGAATCACGAGAAAAGGACCGCATGATGATGGACTCGTGCAGTCTGTCCGTGCGCTGCTTGCTTGAACAGCACATCGCTTGTATTCATCCAGCGGGACTGAGAGGTATAAAAGCGACCTTGCTCAACACATCCTTCAGCCAGTCTTACCTCTCAATCACTCCTCGATCCACACTCATCCTCGTCCAAATCATCATGCCAGCGAAAGGATCTCGTGCTAGTAAGTACTTTCAAGCGATCACAAGCTGTATGAGTACTCACTCTCCCTCCAATATCACAGCTGGCGGCGGAGCCTCCAAGACGTCTACCTCGGACGCATCGCGCATACAGTCCACTCAGGTTCGTCCTCATCATGTTCCCTGTGCGTCTGACTTTTGACGGCGTTCCTTTCTTTGCCAGGCTAAGGCCGGCGCCGAGACCGGCAAAGGCAGCTTCCCCGCTCGTGCTCAAGCATCTGCAGCGCGCAACGCAACTGCTGGAGCTACTCCAGGTAGCGGTGCGAAGGGCGGAAAGGGTGCAAAGGGCTCTTCATGATCGCTGTATTATGAGATGTTGGGGCAGCAAGACCGCGAGATGGAGCGGTAATGCAGTAATGTACATATATGCGGGCGTGGTACGGGAATAGCATGCACAAATTTGTTGCCCACTATGAATATCGAAACGTGACTGTGGCAAGGACTTCATATGACGGGTTTTGATGCCAACAATTGAATGATACTTGTTGTCGCCGCAGTGATTTGACGCGTCCTGTCACGCGTTCTGTCACGCGTCCTCCGCCCCAGCGATACTAAAACTTTGATCTTATTATCATGCAAGGTCAGAGTCAACGTGCAGTAGGAACGGCTACACAATCTACTTTTTTTGTATGTTTCTTTTCAGACGACGGTGGTCTTATGCAATAGCACCGGCCCCAAACTTCGATGACTCAATTAATCGGTTAGTCGGTCCTGACTTATCTAGACATTCGCAGCGTCACTCGTCAGCCGGAGCTGTGTTGGTGAGTTTTAATGCATATTACAGATGATTATGGATGTATGTGAAATTGCACTATCTTGACGCTTGAATTCACGTACTACAGCTCCATGACCTCGCTCGACTTGCTGGTGCCGAACATGTACACCCACCCTGACACAGGCCACGTTCTGATTTTACATGTGTCTTCCAACGGTCATGCACATATTTAGTGAACTGTTTCACCACTTCGGATACGGTTTGATCAACACTCAAAATGGAGGGGTCAAGCAAGCTGCCAAGAAGGGATGAATACGGCCGAGCTTCTATATGAAGGTTCAGAAGCACTTGTGGTATGTCGTGTCGAATCTATGTGTGTGACGTGCTGAGTCCGCGTGATTCACTGTGTAAATGGACATATTCGTGGTTAGCAGAAGAAGAAGTTTGAATTTGCAGCAGAAAAATTGATATAGCCATCGATACATAACTTTCTTCAGCAGCTGCGCATGTCGGACATCTATCATTTCCACCATTTTCGTTGGTGCGTTTTCCGAATGCATTCTCATTTGTGAAACAACGAATCGGTGCTTCTAAGACTCCAATAACGTACAATATTTGCTCACACGATCCGCGCATTCGCGTGAAGCAAATATCGCCGCACTGACATGGAGCGAGAATACTGCCGAAAACGACCTTTTGCGCTGCTCGTCTGTGACCGTACATGGCATCTTACCTCACGAACTGGCCACAATGTCGTTGACTGAAGGACCGAGATGAATTGCTACCAGACGAGCCCCTGGTGTGCTGTCATCGGACCGACTCCTGTACATTCCCCAACGGCGAATAGCCCGCTCTGTCTGGCCGGTGACAATATCGAGAGCTATAAAGACTCTACGCTCTGTGCTCTAGTCTAACAGTGCAGTCAACGACACCTCTCAACGCACACCGATAATCTAACAAGAAATGGCCAGCAAAGGAGCTCGTACTAGTAGGTCCCCCGACGTCTATGTCCTCAGCCCTTCCGCTAAGGCTCGGTTCCCCAGCTGGTGGTGCATCTGGAAAGATGACTCCTACAGATGCATCGCGCATACAGTCCACACAGGTTCGTCTGTGTTTGAGACGCTATGCATAAAGGCTTATTTTTTTTCAGACCAAGAAGGGCAACGACGTTGGAAAGAGCACCTTCACTTCTCGTGTTCAGAGCGCTGCTTCCCGCAACGCAGCTGGTACCCCTCCCGCCCCCGCTACCACGACCCCGAGCCAACCCAAGGGTGCAAAGGGTGCAAAGGCTGTATAAATCGGCGTCGAGCTTCAAGCGTGCCTAGACGCCAGCGCAGAAATTGTATAATACTGTGACGTTCGTCGAACCCTATGCGATATCCATCGTAGACACATATGCACGGCCTGTTAGAATGACGATGAATGCGTTATGCAAGCAGATTGTGTCGTTGAGTTTGAATATCTCTACAGATTCTACGCCGAGCCTTCTCAGCGTGGCATAGAGCCATGGCGTGCGTCTAGTATCGGCAAAGGCCGACCAGTGCTCGACCTTGGCAGTGGCTCAGGCTGTATAGCACCGTAACTCTATCCGACCTCATGCACCACAACTTGTATCTTTGCTCCTCTTTTTGCACTATCATCACTTGACTCTTTGCTATGTTAGACCTCGTCACTCGAAATCTTGTCTCAAAATTCTTCATCCTCCACGCGTTCATAGGGTATCTGCGCTTTTCTCAATCGTTCCTTACCTATACAGCCGGTCGTTTTATCTTGAGCAATCGTTTTCCTTGCAGAAAGGCTGCAGGATCATCTTTGTCTTTGTGAAAAGGGAATCACCGGAGAGCATTGTCTGGCGAAGAGCATGCACTCGGATAGGAAGGTACTGGCAATTAACAGCCTTCGGTTTACATGAATCTTGCCAGCACTGCCGACTGATCCGAAATCTTGCGTTTGCGAATGGGCCTATCTGGGTCTGTGGGCACTGTAGCATTCTTCGCGGCTCCACAACCACAGCTTTAAACGGTTGTTTCATCCCGAAGTCCGTTTATCACGTAACCGGTTTATCTCATTTCCTTCTCGCAATGGCCATTGATGCCGTTGAATGTCTTTCATACTCGTTGGGACCCTGCAAATTTCCGTGTGCGTGGCGATAGTAGTTGTAGCATTGTGTAGTTCGGGACGAGCGTGGTCTTACCGCTATAGTGAGTTGTTGGCCGACGGTTTTCTGCCGTCCGAGCCAACGTATTCATTGTTCTCTATCAGCTAAATTTTATTCGCGTGTGTAGGCTACGGAAGCACTGATTACGACGTGCGATGCTGGGAATCGGATACTGAAGGCCCTTGCGCTCGGCGCCTATGCAGCATCCCCGCCTCATTCGTGACGATTCACGAAGCTAGCCCTATAGTCCCATTCTCATTCCTACGCGTATCTTTTGATTGTATTGTTTTAAGTACGAGCGTGTTTTCAAAATTTGTTTAACATAGACCCACCCAGTCACGATGGGGATGGTGGATAATGACCACTGAGATTGGCAGAACGTAGGTGGGCTCAACCTGGTAGGTCTTACTTTTCCGATCAGAACAAATTAGCACACGCGGAAGGCGCGGTCCAGAATGGCGATGTAATCGCTCGGGCCTTTCGTTTGTGGAGAGTGCGATGCGCCGCGGCGCACGTATCATTTTACAGGACAGGCAATCCATTGACTACAGGTATTTCTGGATTAGATTCTAGAGTAGATGCAGAGCGCGACAGACTAGTTTCTGCCTGTCTTCTCGCCGAAGTACTAGTGACTCATTATTACCGTGTAGATCTCATCACCGCAACGTCCGGACTTGGGCCTTCGAAACTCGTACAAGCCAATCAGTGTCCTTCATTCCTTATCTAGTAGGGCAGTTCTACTCCGACCGGTCTGTGCGTCACTACTGATTGTTGATCTTAGCGACTTGAAAGTACAATAAGCAGGAGTTACAATACCTCTATCTTGTCCTACTACCCTGCGCCACACTACGTTTGTTACCCAGAAGTAACTTACACAGCTTTTCTCCCTCGATTATATAAAGGCGAATGCATTCCGACCTCAAGATGTACACCCACCGCCACGATGCTGATAGCCAGTCTCTGCCTTAAGGCAGCTCTCGTCCTTTTCACCTTCTTGGCTCAGCTTCCCCTTCCAAAAAGCTTCTGCATTCGCTGTGTGCAGACAATCAGCGACAGCGTTCCCCGGCCCCTCATCCTCGCGTCCGATAGCGTTCCCCGGTCTCTCGACAATGTTCCCCCGTCTTTTATTCTTGTGTCCGAAGGCGTTAATAAGTACGAGTGAGTTGTTTACCGAACGCCTGACTATCTTCCAATGTGCTCATTGTATAACTAAGTTCTATATTTCTCCCATCACCAAGCTCGACAACGGTACGAAGGGAGACGCTGCCAACGTACGGTTCCACCTATTCCACTGAACTCGAAATGAAGGCACTTTCGACCGTTGTCTTGTCTCCTCTCGCTTCAAGCACCTCATCTGCTGTGCCGCTTTTCGGTGTACAGCATCTATGTCTCGCTGCCGTGGTTATAACCCTCTTTGCAGCACTTTTGTGGTTTCTATGGATCAACCAGTGGGCGATGGAAGGGGTTGAAGAAATTACAAGGGATATCAAAGTAGATCACGAGATGGTGGTGGCATTCGAAGGACACATATTAGAATTGTGCGAACAAATGGTAAAAACATGTTACCCTTGTCCTATTGCTGAAACTGATTATCTGAGTGACGCAGTGTGATGCGAAGATGAGGGTTCAACTCGCCACTCTCATGAGGACTATGAACTTTCGATTTAGAGCATGTATGTTCAACTCTTTCATTCAAACTGGTGCCACGGTGACGACCCCTCTGCTTGTAGACGAGAATATGCACCAGTTTCCTGCGCCTGCCAACCCATTTACTTCCACTCCCTCGCCAAATGGGTTTCCTCAGAATGCTTTTGGTGCTGGCGCTCCTCAGCAACCTTTTTTCGGTTTTAGTGGCACTCCTAACCCATTTTCATCTGGTATCCCTCAAAATGCGCCCGCTTCTGGCTTCCCTCAGAGTCCCTTTGGATCCCGAGCCCCCCAAAACGCGTTCGGTCCCAGTCCCTCTCAAGGTCCATTCAGCGCCAGTACTCAGACGGCATTCGACGTTGGTACCCCTCAACCTGCGTTCTCCTCTGGCATTTTACAGCAAGCTTTATCTTCTGGTGCCCCTGAGGCAACGTCTACCACATCCGAATTTGAACTAACGGGAGGCGGCGCTGACCCAAACGCCAGCAACGACAGTGCATTCGCTATAATACCCTGGAGGCCCCGCATTAAAGTGTCAAGAAATGGCAACGCATCGAGATCGGACGTTAATGATCACGTCGCGCCTACAATGGTAGACCTTACTTACATACTCAATCTCGATGTTAGCGTCTGTGAGCCGCATTCCGAAGGACCTTCTCCGCGTGTAGATGTCCCACATGCAGACGACGCTCGGCCTAATGGTATGTTTATAATGATGAATAGGATGGAATATCACTGATCTCTTCTCGGTGTGGCTCAAGACGGCAATTCCTCGGTCGACCCTCTTCGGTCTGTGAGCGATGAACTGGGTGCCCTTCTTCAATATCATGTCCACTCTCATCTCAGCGGCATGTTTTCTGAGGCCGCTTCTCATTCCGAGTCGGCGCAAGGCGGCGTTGTTATTTCTGATGGAGCGCATGGTCAGCCCGAAGATGCCAGCGTTGTTTCCCTTGGTAATTCTTCGGCACGACATATGCCATCTACACCTAATGTGTCGCAGGTAGAGACTCGCGATGTGTCTTCTTCCATCGCCTCTCCATCAGGCCCGCATCCATCTAAATCTCAACTTCGTTACGTCATCAAGCTCACCCGTCCCGTCATAGTTCCCCGGTTGTCATCTAGGCTTGCAACTCCCGTCCTCGTCTACTGCACTTGCTCTGCAGCCTCAGACGGGAAAGAGATTCATACAAAGGGGTGTTCACAAGGAGTAGGACCTCAAGCAGGCGATTTCTCGTCTCCCCCGGTGACATGTAATGTCCTACGCAAAAGTGATGTCGTCGTCGCTGCCCCCGTAAATGAAAAGTGCGCGCCAGGTTCTCAAATCATGCCTACACCATCTGCGGGCCCGTCCAAAGTAGATGCCGACAAGGATATTGGACCGTTGGTTTTCGAGGGTAGCCCAAGGCTAACGACGAGCCCGGAGATGATCGACTATGGGAATGACGATGAGCACAGGAAAGGTCATCGTTTTTTGCCTCTTCCGATAGATGCGGTGCGTTCACGAATCGACGTCCGTGTTGCCTCAGCACCTGCCGGAAATGTAGAACATAGAAGGCGGCAGAGGAATAGGCGGAACGATCGCAACTTGAGGAATGCTCCTAATCCTGATGGCGCAACCTCCCGGTTCGTCCCGAGGACCCCAGGATACCCGCAGAAGGTGTTTCCGGCAAGAGGTCACCTCGATCTACACGGTTGTCGCAATAATGCGTTGAGGGAGGCACTCAGAGAGATTCCGGCTGAGGTGCCCGCTGCGATGCCGGCCTTCTACCACAACCCTTCGGCACATCCCCAATCTTCGATCATCAGCCAGTATGCGCGAACCGGCGCTCCGTTCAACTCTTTCACTCCCCAAGCTGCATTCGCTCCGGTAGTTCCACAGGCAGCAGATTCCTATCGGTCATACCAGGTAAATCATCTCATTCTCGTTTTACTCACATCGCTCATTTCGAGCAGTCCCCCAGCTATGGTCCACCAGGTTATACACATCATGTCCCAGTCACTCCTGGTTACAGTCCAACTGCTAGCGTGGCGCAGCATCTGCCACCGAACGGGCATTTTGGATATCCTGTCAACACCGCATCAGTGCCTATGATGCCCCCCCAACAGCCTATTTCCAATCCACAACAAGACCAAGAAACCTATCGACGCATGATGGGCGCACCGCAGACACAGCCTGTCACCCATCATCACCCAGGGCCTTATATGCCAATGCCGCCATACTACTCACACATGGTTGTTCCTGCACCATACAGGCCAGTTGATACACACAGCTCATCGTCCAGTCCCATCGGGCAGTATGCAATTTCATCCGATCTCGGCGTAGACCTGAATGACGATTCGACGTCTCCACTGCGGCGAACCAAATCACCTTCGGCCCTATCGGCACTAGCGACGCCCTTTCACCCCTCCACCTACACTCTCCCTATTTCTGATGATGCGGATGTTGATGATGACGCGTGCCCTGCCATTCACGTAGAGCCCGCGTCAGTCGATGAGGAAGAGATGCTGGCCGCGGATGTCCACCGTCTGCCGAAGCCTGATTTCAATGATTCACCCAAGGCGGCAGATTCTGTCTCGACTACAGTGGAGTCTACAGAAGGTGAGATGCCTGTTCATACCGCTGCGTTATAGCATTCTCCTCGTCAGTAAGCTTGGAGTCTGGGCCACGAAGACCCACGTCTGTTGGGCTGTTGTCCATGTATAGTCAAGGCATCTTTCTACCTCGATCCTTCAGGCTTACCCACGATTTTTGTCTTTATTATCTTTCGAACAGAACTGACCCATATTTTTATAGGTTTGTCTCTGCTGATTGACTCCGTCCGAGCGTCGTCGTCCTCCCCTGCCTTGGCTGTTCGGGAAGATGATGCTCTTGCGGAAGGCGATCACCCTCAGTCCCCTCTATCTGGGCTAGCAGAATCCATGCACGCACCCTCTTCGCGTTCCGGTTTAGCCGCGTCCATGCACGCGCCCAAGAGCCCTGCCACATCGGACCACGCCCTGCGTACCCCGGCTCGGACGTATCCCGAGAGTACGCATCGCAGGGGCGGAAAGAGATGGAAAGGAAAGGCGGTAGATCGCGGCCCGGGAAATGTGTCCAACGGAACGAAGGACCAGCAGCCAACGGGTGTGCAGGCCTCACGATGGGCCCACTGACGACATATCGCTCACTTGGCGTCCCCACCAGCACCATGAGGTTCTTCTCTCGATTCTGTTTAATCACTATCTATAGTCACTCTTGTAGCCTGCGCCCGACCCGTTTTCGTGTGCTTTCTGCTGCTCGTCCCTGACCCGTTTTGCTTCTCTCTCCTTTCTCATCTTGCTGAACTACCTTTCGTAACGTCAGTATGTAGCTCGTGCTGCAGTTCCCTGCTTTCGTAGCTGTTCTGCAGTCACCAGTAGCTCCCGTGGACTTCATACATAGCCTGACGTCCTCGCAATATCTAGTTTCCCTATCTCTTCTTTCCAAACACTTACTGTAGCTAGCTAGTGAACGTTCCATATTCTGTCTGTATCAGTAGATTGATTGTGTATCTTTAGATTTCTACCCGTTTTTGTATATACTTCATGATCACTTTTTGTAACTGCGTTATTCCGCGCTTGAAGAATTGACCTAAACCGACACCGACTTGATGGACTATGCATGCAGAACTCTGAACACTTCGGACCGAATCTCGCTTGGAGGTAACCGCAAACAGATAACCACAAACAGCTAGGGACGATCGTGATACATATAGCAAGCTTAAGCTCGTTGAACGATAAAGCAGGATAAAGCAGTTATAAACATGACATGAAACTTATGGGTATATATGCCCGTCTCGCTTTGCCCATCCACTCGGACGAGGAGGCAAAGCGAATGGATGGACTTGAGCGGGGTCGGACGCGCAGCGGTCGAATGTCCTGATGCCCATACATACACCAACCCGGTAGAGGCTCGAGCACTGCCGCGACTTTAGAGCCATTCTGTCCCGTGACGCCACGATGAGACCCAGAGCGCAATGCCTCGCAAGCCGCAAAAATGTTTTGCTGCCGGGTTCGTAGCAGACACGACGCTGAAATGCAATCGAGCGATAAATGCCAGCAGTACACGTAGCGACGACAGCATACACACCGGGAGCGAAGCGCATGTTGTTATTAGAAAATCCTTTCCCACTTGCGCATACACGAATATCCCTGGTAATCTGTGCACAGCCCTGTGCGTGAGCACGTGTCGCACCACGAAAGTCAGATTCACGTACCAAAACTACGCCAGCCACGACAAGAGCAGTGTTTCTTCCTGATTATTCCCGCCCCATGCGGACAGTGTGTAAACGGATGATGCTCATATCCGATCTCGTCGAAAAACTGGATGCGGTCCTTTGGCAGAAACAGCCCCGCCGCGATGCTGTGTACGGGCGCGTCGCCCCAGCGCTATTCACAATGCATGATGAGTATGGGAGGAGCGGGAAATGCAAACACTTACCTCATAGTAGAATCCCCCTTGAGCGTCGAGGTAGTCGAAGAAATGCGAGTATGCCTCGCTGCGCCAAAAGTCCATGTCCGCGATTTCGAAGTTGCTCCAGACTACGGCATTCATGATGAGCATTAGCCCTTATCACATACGGATAGAGCGTACAATGGCAAAGGTTGTAGGTTTCTCCGCCGTCCTCAGACAAGAAGCCCATCGAGTTGTTTGGCGCGACATAGTGCGGATTCTCGGCAATGAAGTCTGGGACGTAAGCGAATGACAATTACGTCATCCACGATCGGCGATTGTCCTGGACCCACGCACCTTTCACCGTCTTCCAAAGCGAGGCAATCGTCTTCTCAAACTCGATCAGCGTGATAGTGAACCCTGGCACAAGAGATGAGTGCGCAGCAGACACCAGAGCATCACAGCATACGAACCGTAGACTTTGTTATTTTCTTCCATTTTCAAAAAGGGGTCCTCGTCGACGATACAGTGGAAATGTACGTCGGGCCTGTGCGCTAAGTTTGTTCAACCGAGGCAGGGAATACAGAAGGAAACGCACTCGACGCGCCAATACCATTTATACTTCTGGAGGACGGGATGGTGGTAGAAGAACTGAAGGAAAAGCATATTCGAGAGCTGCAGCGAGGAATTAGGAGAAGAGACGTACACCAGAGTTAAACCGGCACATGTTCCGATACCTGTTGGTCAATAATCATTATCACAGTCACTACAGATAAATTTCGTCGTCACGTACGATACACTCGCTGTGGTCGTTGCACACAGATGAGTGCGAATATGGGGTATGAGGTAGAGCTACATACCTCCATAAATGATATTCTCTTCGACCATCGTATTCCTGCTCTGTGTGGCCTTCTCCTCATCTATCCAATCGGGCTGATACCAATGGTGTGGGGGTATCATGGCAAACTCGACTGGGCCAGAGACGACTTCCGTCATTTTCCTACAATGCGCAGATCAGACCTTGCCCTCATTAGCATAAACGAAGACGCACTCTTTAAATGCCTTTGAGAACGGTACGTTGTTAAGGAAGACCCAGGGGTAGCCAAACTGGTGGTTGAACTTTTCCTCGAGCTCGCGCACACTCTGTAGTGCCGCGTCAAGCTCGGTGTTGCGCGCGAGCATTAGAAGTGTGGCATTCGCGCGATGTGTGCCGTTGTTTAAGAGGACGTCTTCATGAACTTCAGACGGTGTAGTTGTATTTGATTCAGGGGTAGTAGGAATTCGGACCCTTTCAAGTGGCGGGAAGCTAGAATTTGATGTGTTTGATCTCAATAAAGCAGATGGGATCCCGAACATATAACTGGAGTCGCGAGAGCGTGTATAGGCAATGGTAAGTACGGAAAATAGGACAGTCTGATATTAGAAGTAGCAATCAGCAGGTAGCGTCGTCCCGGCTCGATACGATACTTACTGATGAGAGCACGAGGAGTAGTATGATACGAGTAATCTTGTTCAGTCTGAGTTGGCGCAATGGCGCAATAAAAGCTGCGATGTCCATCGGAAGGCGAGGCCGCTTGAAGGCTGTTCTGTGAAAAAGACAAGTGTTTAAATGGATAGTCGGCAATGGGCCCAGCCCCTGACATAGCAAAAGACGGTGGATCGTTGGTGAGTCAATTTGTGTGGAGAGAATTGTTTGTCGCTCACCCTTTAGCCGTAGTCAACAGTGGAGAACGAAAGCAATAGCATGAGCGAGCTGCTGCGGAGGGCGTTACAAGAACTTGCTCAAAGAAAGTCGTGGGAGCGCCCAGCCCAAGATCGCTCAGCCACTACGGGCGTCTATACTACACCGAAATTATGATAAGGTGACTATATATCGATTGTGGAATCTTTTTCGAGGATCCATTCATTTGTCTTTCTCAGCTTAGGGCAATTCAAGGCAGCATGAGCGGCTGCGTTCGCTGTACGTGGCGAACGCACAGTGCTACTAATAGCCACAGACGGTATGTGCAATTGTTTTCTGCGGCGCTCGTAGAAACGGAGAATCATGGTCTCGTTACTACAACAGCTCACCCTGAGTGTTGAAACGCTCGAGGAGAATGCTACAGCTGGCCGAACTGGTGATCGGACTGACCTCGAGGCCTCAAGGCCTCAGGCCTCATGACCGATGTCCCCGCGAATGCCATTGGCGGCCGCATTGATATGGCTCGTACATAGTGTCCGAGCTTCTTCATCTAAGCACTGGTCCGAGGAGCTCCGGGCTCGATTTTGCCATGAGGAATGGATCGGAACGAGAAGGGACAGTGATAAGATCAGATATAGCTTGCGGAGGTCGAAGCAAAGTTTTAGTTTTCCTTTGGGAGACTAGAGTGTGCGCCACTTGCAAGGATCACACCATGTGCATTAGCTTGGACCTTCCGTTCACTCACACCGAGGCAGGCGAATATGTCCCAAACTACGACATCGACTTCCATGACGAACCTGGCGGCTTACATGGGTTCGTGTACTTAAATTGGCATCTAAGACAAGTTGCAGGTCTAACCCCCGGGAGCCGCACCAACGCCGACTAGCCCCTCATTCCAATAGTTGCTGTCATGAATCGCCGATCGTCAAATAAGGCTGAGACACTTCGGTCTCTCATTCGAATGCTTGTGGACGCTTCCGAGGTCATTATCAAACAATGGGACGCAGAGGACCAGCCCTACCTCCCCGGCCCTGTCACTGGCCAAGTTCCCTCACACGAATTGTTCGAAGCGCGCCGCATCGTCCTTGGTGCTTGCGACATGTGCGCGGATTTAGTACAAGACCCTCTAGAACGGCTGTGCGAGATTTCCCTCTCATTTCTTCCTGCCCGTGCTCTGCATATCGTCGCTGAAGCGAGGATATTCGACATACTCGTCGAAGCGGACCCAAGCTTAGGAATGGACATCCAAGATATCAGTCATCGCACGGGTATAAACGCAGGAAAGCTTTGTGAGTGCTGTGCGATGCCTATCTCGTTCATGTACTGAATACACCGGCAGTGCGCGTACTCCGTTGTCTCTGCTCTCTGCATATATTTGCTGAGGTAAAGCCCAACCGATTCGCTAATAGCTCCACGAGCCAAGCGGTTGTTGGGAACGATCCGTTCCGTAACTGGCTCATTCTCAGGCAAGAAATTGCTTTTCTACTCTTCCTCCGTAGAATGTTAACCATGTGACACAGTGGTGGAATGAGCTACACGGGCTCGTGGAAATTGCCTGCTATTCTAACGCATTCCGTGAAGACGCATTCATATTCACAGCGCGAGACTGCGTTTCAGGAAGCATTCCAATCCGACTTGACAGTATTTGAATATTTGCAGCCTGAGAGAGCGGAGACGCGTCGTCTCGAATCGCAGACATTTTCTCTCGCGATGGTGGGGCTTGGGCAATTGAATAGAGCATCCATATTAGTCGGTATGTCGGAAGTCGTTTGTTTCCAAGGTTTGCAGCTGAATGTTTGAGCTTAGACTATCCTTTTCAGCTCCTCGACGGAACTACTATCGTGGACGTAGGAGGGGGTGTAGGTATATCTTCCTTTTTTTGTGCGATCGAACATTTAGCTTCATCTAAACTTCATGAAGGTTCAATGTCTCTTGAGCTCGCAAAGAAGCTTCCGAGCACGCGATTCATTCTGCAGGATAGCGACCACGTACTCCAACAAGCATCAACGGTGTGGTCACAAGAACTACCGGAAGCCGTCCGGATGGGTCGTGTCCAGTTTATGTCTCACGACTTCTTTACTGCCCAACCTGTCAAGGGGGCAGAAACATACCTCCTGCGATACATCTTGTGCGTCTTAGACGACGGTATCGCTCCCACCAGCTGATGTAACCCCTCTACAGACATGCTTGGTCAGATGAGAGCTGCGTCACCATTCTGAAGCACCTCAAGGACGCCATGTCCCATAGATCGCGTATCTTGATTGCAGACCATGTCCTACACTCGACGGTAGAATCGGAGCTACTCAAGTCGGCTCCTGCACCTCTCCCCGCAAATTACGGTGTTGCCCATATGTACATCAACATGCATGACCTCAATATCATGTCGCTCATGAACGGAATGGAGCGTACGCCTGACCAGTGGCATGCGCTGGCGGAGCGCGCCGGCCTTGTTATTGCACGAATCTGGGAGTGTCGTAGTTCTATGTGTATTACCGAGATGAGACTTTCCGAGGACTACCAAGAAGGAAGAGGATCAAAACTGTAGTCCCGTGGGTAGATTCCGAAGTCAGGATGTGAGTATTCTTCATGTATGATGACAGTTAGAGTCCGTTTGGCACTCGTTGTTCACTGCAAGCGATTTAAACAAAACTACATTTCTCAGTATCGCAAGTGGATCAATAAACGTTCCGGCTTGAAGCCTGATTAGCCTTCTTTTAGATATGACATGCAACGCGAAACTTGTACAACATATATCTTGAGTCGATCGGTCGGCCACCACTATGTCTACACGAGAAGGAATAATGGGTGCTATCGTAGAAAATATCAAAAATCATATTGTATCTGTTACAGTCCGCAATATACTATGTGCCAGGCCAAAATAAATCCACTTCCAATTGCATGAACCAGAAAACGTCCAGAGCCAAAAGAATGAATATTCAAAATTCAAAGCGCCTTCGCTACTCGTGACAACAATCGCCTCGCCCTGCGGTAGTCTTCATCGTCGTCATCGCTAGAATCCTGCCAAACGTCCCGCGCCTCGCCCTCTCGAGGCCGAACCCTGGATGTCCATTCGCCCGCACGGCTCGAAGACGCAGATCGGGGAGTCCGGGACACCCACGGCTGCAGCCTCCCCCTATCATCATCATCATCAATCGCGGGCGGCGTGGCGGAGAACGTAGGTGGCAACGACATCCGTACGCTCTTCCGCCGCGCGGTAGTCGGGGCCGTAGAGCTTGTAGAATGCGACATGTCGCTGCCGACCATAGGGCGTGGTTTGTCATTCGGGGGAGGTGGAGGAGGGGGAATAGGTTCCAGCTCTTCCGTGAACTCTTCGTTTACGGTCTCGTATGACGAAACGGATGCAGTGTCGTCGTCGGACTTCGTACCGTTGACCGCCACGTTTGGACCCGCAGGGGACGTCGCTACTGATAATCCGACTACCGGTGGTGGTGGGTTAGGTGACGGCGTACGGCTGTTCCTCAATGCCGACCGCAGGGGCATCTTTGCCTGAGGTCTGCCAGCGGCCGAGATTGGCAGCGTCGGAGCAGAAGACGATGCCGACATCCGTGTGCGACTCGTTGAAGATGTTACTGCCCTGTCGGAGGCTGACGCAGACGGCCCAGGAGCTGCGCTTGCAGCGGGCGGACGATCTACGTCGTGCTCGATGCTCACACTTACAGGCGGAGGAGCCTTAGGGACCATCAGTAGTCGATTTGGGTCTTGCTTGGCCCCTGCCTCCCTGTTCTGCTTTGCAACTCCTTCAACAATGCTCATGAGACTCGGGCCATCATTGTCTCTTGTCAAAGCTGATCGATGCGTAGATGATATGGAGCCAACCCGCCTATGACCCTTCGTAAAACTAGTCGGAGTGGCGTCTGATGGAGAGGGAGAGAGATGAAGGGAGGCAGTACGTCTACGGGGAGTGGTTTGTTGTTGGGACTGAGGCGAAGTCGGTGGATTTACCGGACTGCGCGTATGTGCTCGCGGAGGGGGCGTGTTCATGATAGATTGTTTGGATGTCGAAGAGTTACGCGATAGGGACGCTTGCACATCAGACGCAGTACCGCGCGGAGATGAGAGTTTAGCACCTCCAGGAGTCCGTGAGACTGCTTGGGCTGAAGTGGCAGCTGCCGCATCACCATTCAAAGCCGGCTTAATTGTGCTAGAGGACCCAGCCTCTGGTTTGATCAACGGAGGCCGACCTGTTCTCGCTACAGCTCCAGATGTTGCCACACCATCGCTCACCCATCCTTTATCCTCCTCACCGCGTGCGCCAGACCCGCCTCGAGCAAGATTGCGTTTTGCGGGCCGCTTTTTCAGCCTGTGGGGCACACTTGCAGTAGAAGCTGATGGCGATCCGACGAACGACACCGATTGAGACTGTGGGATATCATTGTAAGGTCCATATGACCAGGTTGAATATTGTTCAGCGAGCCGGGCACGAGCTATGCGTCCGTCCTCATCGTCGGAGCTATCATCACCGTGCTTCGTTAGGTGTTTGTCCGTTCGTGTCTGCCACCGCGTGCCTGAAGGGCCCCCACCTGGCGAATCATTAACCTGCTGGGCACCTTTCTCCTTGTGAAATAACGCCGCGATACTGCGACCGAAAAATGTCATGGATCCGCTCCTGTGCCGCTCCTTCTTCTTTGATTGGGTAGAGGAGCTATCTGTTACTGGCGACGGCGGGGGAAACTGCACGTGTCTAGCAGTGCCTGTCGACGCACGTATTGAGAAGGATTTCTGCGGATCTTGGTTTGCATCGGCCCTGCGTTCACCTCTGCCCTTGCTCTTGGGCGCAAAGCGTTCGTTCTCATGCACCTCCATGGCAGCCACATCTTCCTCATTGTCGTCGCTACTCTCCTCTACATCTTCTTCCTCGACCTCAGATATCCTCCAACTTGTTGACAGGTTTCCATTTGGCGTTACACTTTCCGGGAGCGAAAGCGGAGAGAGGACGCGTGGGGGAGAGTACACGTCTGGTGGCTGATAGACCCATTTGCTGACATCGACATGAGCGGAGCCTTGATCTATCGTGGCAATCTGAGACGCCGATTGCGAAGGTGCTAAGGAAGATATATCAGATGAGGCATGTCCAGAATCGGAATTGGGAACAGGCAGGGGCTTAAAAGGAGGGGATGCCGGATATGAGTGGGCACCTGTGGGGACAAGGCTCAATATCAGTCGCCCCACAACTATATCAACGGGCAGTAATCATTAAACCGAAACACAACAGTAATGTCGCAAACTCATGAAATCCCCAATTTCTTTTGAAGGCAGTACGCACCGTGACCATTCAGGAGCTGTGAGGTGTCAAGTGCACGGAGCCCATTCTTGCCTAGCTCACCCCACGTCCACCCACACTCGACCATTGCCCTACAACGTTCCTGAAGCCCAGTCCGAATTGCAGCAATTCGCATATTGTCCAGTTCATGTTCCTTCATCGCTAAATGTGCTTCGCATGCTTGTAGCTCTGTCTGCGCAGCAGACAGCTTCGGACCAACTGTCACTTCAGATTTAGAAAAGCTAAGAGATGACGTGGAGCCAGAAGGACTGAGGATGGAGTCGCGTGTGGGTTTCTGCTGTTTAGATGCCTTGAGTAGTCGAGTTACGCTAAGGGGTTACTATGTCAGATGGCTACATGCATATGCTTTGACGACGCAACAGGTAAAGCCAGGCCATCTTGCAACACAGACAGTGTTGTCGAAAATGACTATACACGTACAAAATTTCTCGGTCACGCATGATATTCCCCACCTCATCCTCCAAATCTTTTAGGGCCTTCAGTTGGTTCTGCCATTCTTCGAGCGACGCGGCATACTTGCGCAGTGCATCATCCGCGCTAGCAAGCACACCGCCCACTGCGATTATGACCTGTGAGAGTGGAGGCGCCGATGCTGCCGCGAACGCGGAAAATGCTCCTAAGGACACTTGGGAATGCTCGAGGAGGTGAGCGAGCTGCTTTGAATAGTCTTTCTCGTGTGAGAGGAGATTTGTTAGAAGCCGAGAGTCCGTTGGTCGGTGAACCATGCGGTAAAGTCGTACAGGGAGGGCGGAGCCGAGTAGACAAGGGCAGACGGTGAGCAGCAAGTAGGACGTGCGGTCAGGCTCCAGCGCCGCAACCTCGGGTGACGATCTGATCATGTGATATATTTCCTAATATGGAGATTCCCGACGCCCACAAACTCATCAATTATCGCGATTCGCTGGGGAGTTTTAGAAGTAAACGCTACCGCAGCTAGCCTACTCGTTACATTAATTAGACTATTGAGAGCTATAGTCTACATAGGGCCATGCCCTCGAGGACTATAAACGAGATGTACAAATAAACAACGCTACCGCATCAAACGGCGCTAGGAAAAAGAATATGCGCTACAATGGACATTCAGCATTGTTCGCAGATCCTAGCCAGTCGTATCTCTATACACTATGTACAGGAGGACCAGAGGACCGTTGCAAACACCCGCTGCTAATGGCATCCTTTCGCATTCGAGTCACCGACTCAGAATTGCAGGCTTTGACAGCGGGCGTGCGCGTGACCAATGACATCATTCTGCAACCGAATTCTCTGTCTGACTCTCAGATAAGTTCAAAGACCGTTAGACTCATCTTCAAGTGCTACCTCACGTTACGAGCTAGAATTGATGTTGAACCATGAAAACCGGAAAATTTCCAGAGAGATACGTGTTTTCTCAAACCGCCATCCACATCAGCATTCATAAATTCCAACAAAGTACTAATGTGATGTACACACCTAGCCTCACACTGACTAGTATCGTGACAGGCTAGGAATTCTTCATCGCCTACAACGGCTCAATTAATCGGACTGGTTGTAATCAACATCAGTTTGGCACAACAACGTGGTGCGAAGCTGCATCTGTAATGAGAAATGGCAGGTTGAGGTTCAAGGATACCTTGCGAGGTGGCGAAAACACAAAGTTGGAACGATCTAGAGAGACGCGGTCACATGACCGCGTCGCCACAGGAGCCCTCTTGCATTCACAGTTCAATGACAACCTCGCCATACGCGTGCCTCTGGACAGTTATACGCGTCCTTTATTCGTTATTACGACTTCATATGAAATGTGCTGAACCATATACACCGGAAGATCACCTGCAATCTAACCAAGACGACTCACCGACAAGACTGCTGAGGCCCCGTGATCCCAGAGCTTGCGCTTGTGTATCCTGCAGAGAGCCAATACTAACTTCGTGTTGGGAAGTATGAAGACAGCATATAGTGGTGCGTGAAATACCAGCAGCAATTCACTACCAGGTACAGTATAGCGCAGCGGTGTACCCTGGGTCTCCTCTAGCATTAACATTAGATAGCAAGCGTGTTAGCGGACATGAAGACAGTACGCACTCTGAGTCAATCGTAGTTCTTACTAACGCATTTGGACAAGGAGGTATGTAGTTTTTCCATTGTAGGATCTTGTGTAAAGTTCTCGGCTGAAAACCTCGAGAACGTAGATATCTCGCTTGGTAAATAGCCGTTGGGCAGTAGGCTCATCCTATCGGATGTCTCGCCGCTCAAGCTCAAGATCCTCAGAAATTGCATTTGCTATCGACAGGCCCGGATATAATGCAAAACTTCTACAGACATGCATGGTGAGTGTAGACCCATCGTCAAAGAAGTGTCTGTCTGCTCACCTGACACCAACTGGACGATCAAGTTTTGCTCAACCGGAGATGCCACGCCCAGCGGTTTTTATGACTGCGGACCCACAATGATATTGTAATTCGAGGACATCGACATGGCAACACGTGCAAACCGAACAGTAGTGAGAGGAATCTTCTGAGAGCACTCGCACCTTTTTCACCGACTACCATCAAGTCCTCGTTCGTTCCGTGTTTTCGTTTTCTGGGTTCGTTGACTGCCCACGCTCATTACCGACGTTCGTTCGACATCTCGCGCGCACTGCTGAAACAGCAGAAGCCAGGAGCTCGCGGAGACATTTCGGGTTGCGGAGCTTTCCGGAGCGCGCCACCGGCTGTATTTCTTGTGCCCAATTTGGTGAGTGGTTGATCTCCAGGTCCTGCGCGTGCTTTCCTCTCGCTCGCGCCCTCCACGAGGCAGCCCACCGTCATCCGACACGAGGCTCGCGCATTCAAGGCCTCAGCAGCAGCGACCCCTCCGAGCTTGCGTTCAGCTCGACGTGCTGTGCTCGCGTTGCCGTCTGTGACACCCATCTAATCTCTTCACCCACCGGACTCGCCCATTTGGACTTTTTGCCCTCTCGGCTACTCTACTCCCGTTGCATGATATTCTTGCTTAATCTACGAATATGTCACGACAGTACGATTCGACTGTTCCATCGTCTGAAGATCCCTCACCACGATCCACAACTACACGTTCCAGCTCGCGCCCGCGCCCTGACAGCACAGCGCCAAACCAGGAGGCCTCCGTCGTTTCTGTGCGTCCGTCACCATCGCCGCATTCTCCGCTCGGGGTGTCCTCAAGCTCGGAGGGATATCCATCTTGGCTTCCAAAACGTCCCCCACCGCCTGCGCCGCGCTCGACTCTACAGTCGTCCGTAGCAGGAATGTTCACCGAGGCTGGACCCAGCAGCGAACCATTTATAGGTGGGAGGAAGCCGACGCCACGATCTGTACGCATCGTCAGCCTACAAGACTCGTCACAGGCGGAGAAGGAATCGAGGACGCGTCAGCCGACGGAGCAGTCGCGCGCATTTTCAGGACCCTCCCATGCCCGCGTCTGGTCTCGCGCTACGAGCGCCGGACTAACACCGACCCTTCTGTCTTCTGGGCTGGGTGCCCCATTTCCAAGACCCAAGTTTAGGTCTACTGGACTTCATCCGGAAATTTTGCGAAGTCCCTCTTGGAAAAAGCGTCTGCTATTCTTGTTGTTCCCTTTATTTGTACTCTTCCACATTCCTCTCCAAACATTCTTCGATTTCAATGCTGTATTCATTCTCATCTTGTGAGTACTACAGTCATGCTGATGACCTGCATATACTGATTGTACACAGGGTGGCCAAGTACCCGAACCCTGTCGCGCCTGGTGTGCCTGGCTCTGGAAGGAATTGGGCTCTGGGCGCGGCCGCGTACGTCGCCTGCTGGTTCACCTGGATCTTTGTAGTTTTTATTGTATACGAGCTGATATATTCCTTCTACCGCCGATGGAGAGTCAGTAAGTATTCTCTTGTCGAACCTCACCTTTGCGACAGAAAAAAGCTGACGTTGGAATCGGCCAGAACGGCCATTAATGTTCCCAATCTATCTTTCTTCGCCTGCTTTCAACTTCGTCTCCATGAGCTCTTACACTAATTTCTGCTTCATGTACCACATTCGTCTATCTGCCTTCACCGGCGAACACGGTGCCCTCCGGGACGGCCTTGCTGAAACCGCCTTCTATTACTCTCAAAACTGGCCGACAGTCGCCCTCCTCCTGCCGCGTGCGGCACTCTCCCTCGCACTCCTGCTGGAATTTTGGACAGCGCAACCAGGCGCTATTGCTCTCACAGATGCAGGCATCAGCCCACGAGATGGGACGTTCTTCCGTGCGTCGGATGGGACGCTGACAAACTACGCCCGCGGTGTGCTCATCGCAAATGCTGCCTGGACAGCATGGCGGATCCTTGTTCTTCTCTTGAGCATGTGCGTCTGATCATCTTGATACCTGCTAAGATCTGTGGCACTGACTTGAACCCACAGGATTGGCTTATGGATCTCTAGTGGACAAGGCTGTGCCGGCTTGTGCGGGCCACGATATCGCTGGGAAGAGGAGGATGTGGAGAAGACGCTTGTAGCGGTCGGCGACAACATTTCGGACATGGACGCATTACCCTGGTCTTGGAAGGAATGTACATTGCTGCGCGTCAAAGATGCGCACGATTTCTGCCTCACTATCAAGGTCCGGCGTTCTAGTCCCGGTGTGAACAAGGGTGCGGACTCGCGCGAACCGTCCGTCCCGATCGAGGGCATGGAGCGCGTATTTGCGGCCGTCGGCTTGCCCTCCGGCTACCACCCTGCCCGGCGTGGTATCCTGTCAGGCGAGCTATTTGAGAGCCCTTTGGTCCCGGATGAGGGTAATGAAGGCGAGGTCGAAGTCGAGGTCGAGAAAGTGGTGGAGAGCAAGTCTGCACCGGAGCTCTTGGATGTGGAGCAGCCTCCTGCTGTCATACGCTCCAGAGAAAAGCTGGGTGCGGGTCCTTCTGGCCCTCTGATGCAGCTCCCCTATCCATTCACTGGATATGGTGCACAGGTCTCTTCAGAAGAGAGCGTCCCATTCCCACCGTCGCCAGACCCCGAGGAAGAGAGGGAAGTCCCGATTCAGAGTGCAGGTGAAGATGAGGAGGAGGAAGAGGAAGAGGAAGAGGAAGATGAGGAGGAGGAAGCAGAGGAAAGTGAAGAGCGATCAGATAGACGAACATCTGGTTCGATGTCCAGTCTTGGGAGACCGATAGTGTCGAGATATCCCTTCCAATTCCGCAGACCAACGCGTGGAAGTGCATCATCAGCATCACATATGTCACCGGGCACGCATTCTACGCCCCACTCCACACAGTCCCGTTCGACTCAGTCGCACTCGGTGATGTCGCAGTCCACATACCTCTCGCGCTCGACCCAGTCGACGGGCAATAGAGAGTCATCAGACTCACCGATGTCCAATGGCAGCTCCAATGCACCCAGCCCATTGTCGTCCAGCTTCAGCGGAAGTGTTATCCCCATGCCGCCAAGACATCCGCAAGTACATCGTAGGGCTAGGGCAGGGACTGTACCCGCGGTCCCATCATCTCCCGGTTCACCTAGCCCAAATAATTACCCTGCGGGTCGGCCTCGTGCACGTACACGCACACAAAGCGTGGTGACAGAGTCTTCAATGACTTTCGGTCCCGTCCCTCCCCCCGTTTTCGATTCTGATGCGGACCTCGGACATGACGACTCCCTCATGGACGTTCCAGAAGCAGAAGGGTCAATCGAAGAGGCGGAGCAACACGACAGCGTCGGTTTGCTTTCTGCAGGACCAAGCCCCAGAACGTCTCTGGCTAATTTGCGACGGCGGGGGAGCGGTGTCTCGCATCGCCGGGCACAAGGCTCGCGCTCGCGCTCCACCACGGGATCCGGATCACGATCAAATTCGCGGTCCCGCACGAACTCATCCACCTCGCGGTCAGAGTCCGCGCGGTCGAGGGCACAGTCGCTCATCCAATCAATTGGTGCCGCATCGAGGTCCTCTGTGGATCTCGTGCGCTCGCGGGCAAATTCGATGGTGCGCTTGTCCGACTCGCCCTTTGACTCGTCCGCGTCGGACGCTGTCCTCAGCAGTCCCGAAAACCATACGTTTGGTCACCCGCTGCGGGATCAGTGGCGCGCAGAGGAGGCCGAGCAGCGAGCTAAGGAGTCTGCAGCGTCCCTAGATGTACCACCGCTTGAGCCTGTGCCCGAGATCAGCGTGATCGAAGGCTCGCCGCGACTGCGCCCGATGCCGTCGACGCTGTCTGCAGATGCTCCGTCCACCCATGCTCCGTCAGAGCGCCTCTCGGAACACAGCACGTTGATGGAGGCTACAGAGCGGATTGGAGTGCCAATACCTGGCCGACTGCCAGTGGCGAGCGACAGCCAGCCGGATATCAGCACCGCAAACCAGTCGTACGTGACTGCACCCGCGACTATCGAAGGCAGGACGGATAGCTCGAGGGAGACGCCCTCGAGCTGGGGTGGGATGGAGCAGTACCCCGGGGGTGCTCTGCGACCCGTGTGATTGAACCTTACGTTCGCGTTGAAGTTCGCGGACGATCGCACGTACTGGACGCTCTGGTAACTCAGACTATGGAAATGCTATCAGTTATTCTCGTGTTTATAACTACTACTATTTGTGCCACATTGTTTTCCATTCATAGACCAACTGTGCCCTTGCATTACTCGACCCCTTTCCGACGTCATCTTAACGCCTAACGCTTAACCCTTGTGCGACACCTTTTGTATGACCTCCCAAGTGAACTGCTTGCCTGTGCTTATGCTTTTCAATAATCAATACTGTCTTGAATGTGCATGTCTCAGAAGCTCGTTCAGGACTGGACAATTGGGATTCGGCATCAAGATTGCTTGGCCAACGTATTAGCAAGGTGGCCAGGCCATTCTAAGAGCTATAGATGAAAGACTTGAGAGACAGGCTACCGATCACGCGGCTACGGCGGTGCATTGTGCAGAATGTGCTGCCAAATGTCTAGCCACACAGAATAAGAGAACGTAGGGCGAGATCCACCCATTACCACAAGTCAATTGATGCAAAATAAGCTCCCTGCAAATTCGTTACCAGCCGGCTCTTTTTAGATCTTCCGGTGATGCCCTCTTCTGCTTATCCAGAGTCCTTGGCCCATCAGGCCCCTCCTCGAGACCGTTGCCAAGAGGCAGCTCCGGACGCCAACGCCAGCGGTACGTCAGGTCCGTTTTTGGCTTCTTCTGGACGACATCGCGGACATGCTGAGGGTTATCGTTAGCGGGCGCATACTTGGCTCTGGACTATAAAGACTGTATGGTTCACCTTGCCTAGGATTGGCGTAAACTTGGCTCCGTGGCCGCTTCCGCCCGTGCAAATAAAGAGGGAATCATTGTAGTCAGGCAGATAATCTATGAGGAACGAGTTATCGACTGAGTCTGTATAGAAGCACAATCGTGTGACGGCGACGGGCAGAGCGGCGAGGTCGGGGAGGAATGTCGATACAAAGGTCTTGATGCCTTCAATTGATTTGAGCGGTATTGACGTATCGTCGAGGCCCGGCCGCAAGGGGACCGATATCGGGCGTGAAAACTCTGGTAGTTTGACGTAGTTGGTATACTATGGTATCGGTAACAACCCAGGTTCATCATCTGAGAACCTTTGACGATGTGTGTGATATATGCGCACCTTCGTCACGCGATAGCCTATCTTTATCAACCCATCCTCTGTCCGGGGGAAAGAGTATATACTTCGACTCCCTACCGTCCTCCCTTCTGGATCAGGGTCATGGCCGATGATAACTGGCCACTGCTCCTGCGAATATTTATCCCAGAGCTGGGGTGCTTCTTCTCGGGGAGGGAGATGGATCGTAATGACACTCCCCGCAGTTGCCTCTAGCACTCGACTGACCTCTGGAACCAACATGGGCGTCGCTGAACCACCTACAAGGGCCACAGATTAGTACGGGGATAGATGGTGTTGGATAATACGAACAGACATACAGGCCATTATGACAAGGTCAGCGAAATGTTCATTGCCGTCTTTTGTGACGATACCCGTGATTCGTCTAGACGGTCCCGAGCCTTCGACTTGAAAAGAAACGAAGACACCTTTGTCGGGACCTTCGATAAATTCTGCTCCCTTCTTGCGCAACTTGTCAGCCAGATATGCGCAAGCTTTACTCGGGTAGACGTAGCCCGCAGTTGAATCTAAGACCGCCTCAAAAGTGACATCCTTGCCATCCGGTATTGCGAACTTCAGCAGTTTATGCGCCCATCCATTCTTAGTCGCCCGGCGCACGTCCTCCTCATTCGTCAGCACATACTGAGTATCGCGTAATCCCTCTGCCTTCATGTTCGCAAGCGTCTGGCACTCGAGCGCGTCGAGCTGCGTCGAGTGCTGCACGCGCAGCATCCCAGACTCGACGAATAGTTCCTTTCCATCCCCTAGTTCTGCGCTCCATTTCTTCCAAATCTCACGGGCTTCATAGGCCAGCCGCTGATAGTGCAGCTCATCTCCGTACGATGCGCGAAATATCTTATTCTCGTCTACTGATGCGGCAGTGGATCCTGGGTTGAGTTTGTACCCGTCGCCAGAGTCGTACGCGTGCTGGTCAAAGATTGTAATGTTGTAACCTGTTCGAGCTCCCTTTAAGTAGCGTTACCGGGATCGTCGAGTTGAAAATCAGAACGCACCATCTTCTGCGAGATAATACGCTGTGCTAAGACCAAAGATTCCCGCTCCAACGATGATCACCTTGGGTTTGACCGGTGATGTTGTCATGACTTGGGGCTGCTCGGGCTGTGAGGAGAACACACCCATCACTCAGGTTTTAGGACGGATTATAGACCCGCAAGCTCGAAAATTCTCGGCCCGAGTGAGTCCATCTATCGCCCCCGAGGTGTTCTCTGGCCTGTACTTATATGTAGTGGGCATTCGATATCAGACAATCAGAGAGATGTCGTCAGACTCACCAAGCATACTTGTTGACCATCGACTCTAGCCCCACTCGCCAGGCATGGACGATAAGATCGCACGTAATGCCAGCCTGTATGAGGAACAAGCAATACGAAGAATTGTCTAGACTTGAGTTCACTTATCCGAACGGGTAAGTCTACTTATCCGCTCATTCAAATGCTTATCGCACTTATTGTGGTTTGTCATCTTGTTACTTGAACGCTGCTATATACATGGCTTGGATCGCATTCTGCGAATTCTGCGCTCGTAGACATTCGTCACCTACTGCGAATTGGACCACCAAACCCATCGAACCTGCGAAAAATTATAACGACTGGAATAACTGCGGGTGTGAGCTGGGAATACTCAGATTGTCTCAGACGCCGAACACTGCCATCTGTGTTGAATCGTTCGCCCGGTGAGCCGGGTACTACTTACTACTTGCTCATGACCACGGTAAGCTCGCCCGTGTCCGCCTTCTTCCCTTTTTCCTTTGTCGTGCTGTGGAGGTCGTGCTGTTGATTTTGATCTACGGTAAGTCTAACATTCTCATCCCAGCTGCCAATGGTTTGAATTTATAGTAATGTAGCCAGTAACCCTGCCCATTCGTTAGCAAGCAACACAGTGTTTCGATACTATCCGTCCGCGAGACGACGTTGTAAATAATTCGTTGCTTTACTCATGACCTCCTCCGATCCTGGCGACGAGGAGACTGCCCTGCTACATGGCACAGACCATCCAAAATCCGCTCGGACACCTCTTCCGCGTGGGCAATTATATATACTGCTTTTTCTCCACCTCGCCGAGCCCTTCACCATACATGTCATCGCGCCCTTTGCGCCCGATCTCATCCGCAGCGTTGGGATCACCGGGGGGGACGAGGCCAAAGTCGGATACTACGTCGGCCTTATGTACTCTCTCTTCTCTGCCACGCAGGCCTTGACAGTCCTCTCCTGGAGCCGCCTGTCTGACCGCGTCGGACGGAAGCCCGTCATTATGACGGGGCTACTCGGACTGGCGCTGTCTATGTACTGCTTCGGGCTCGCGCGGACGTTCTGGGCACTTGTCGTGAGCCGGTGTTTGAACGGCGCGTTGAACGGGAACGTCGGCGTGCTCAAGAGTATGATGGCAGAAATTACAGATTCGACGAACATCGCACAGGCATACGCGTATCTACCCATCGCATGGATGACGGGCAGCACCCTGGGCCCGATGGTTGGTGGGCTGCTCGCGCATCCTCACGAGCGCTTTCCGAGCGTTTTTGGTAACGTCGAGTTCCTCAAGACACACCCGTATTTCCTCGCGTGTGCCATGCCCGCTACGTTCTCTATTGTCGCGTTCCTGATTACCCTTGTCTTCCTCAAAGAGACCGTCACAGCGCCCGTGTCCATCCTGCGCGTCCTCAAACTGCGCACGGGCCAACCACTTCATTTCCCCGGCGACCCTCAGCCTTTCGTTCCTGCGCCGTCGCATCCAGCGACTGGAGAACCCCTTCCACTCCGGGCTCTCCTGACGCCGCGAGTCGTCATATCTGGGGGCAGTTATGCCCTACTCGCGCTCATGGACCTCAGCTACCGCACTGTTCTCCCTGTCTACCTCTCCACCCCAGTTGCGCTCGGTGGGCTTGCACTCTCACCCCAGACGATTGGGACGCTCCTCTCCGCATACGGGTTCGCGGCGGGGGTGCTGCAACTCCTGCTGTTCTCCCGACTGACCGAGTGGTGGGGCCCCAAGCGTGTCTATGTCGCCGGGCTCGCCTGCGCGCTGCCTGTCATCGCGCTCTGCCCGCTCATGAATCACATTGCGCGGATGGGAGGGGGTGGTACGGTACTGTGGACGCTGCTCGCGGTGCAGACCATCGTGTCGGTCGCGCTGAACTTCTGCTATGGTAGCGCGTTCATATACATCACGGCGTCGGCGCCGAACAGGGCGTCGCTCGGGGCGGTGAACGGGCTCGCGCAGATGAGCGTGTCTGTCGCGCGGGCGGTGGGCCCAGCGCTGGCAAACGCGGCGTTCTCGCTGTCGGTGGACGTGGAACACCATTACCTCTACGGGATGCTGGTGTACGTGCTCCTGGGGTGCCTTACGCTAATGGCACTGGCACTGGCCACGCTGCTACCTGAAACGGTGTGGGGAGACAGGAGGGAGGGAGCATGATACATGTTAGAAGACCCAAGCAAAAGCGTGGCTTGCATTCATTTTTGTAGTTCGCGCAATGGCCTGTATCATAAAGCCTTATCTGCCCTGTGCAGAATTCCTTATATCGGCTGAGGGTCGTCGGGAACAGATAACCTGGCGACGGAAGCCCGATATCGAGGTATGTATGCACATATACGAGCTGCAGCAGGCTAATTATAGGTCTGCCCATCAACATCGAAGGTCTGTACATGATGACTTTGAGCTACGGGATCATGCATAAACGCTGAGAATGTCGGTACGCGGCTTACTCCCGGCTCGTTTAGTGCCAGGCAGCATGGAAAGGGAGATAGTAACTCGGTCTTCATGGTGAATTCTGAATTGGGACCTAGTCGGAGTGAGCGTGCACTCACCTATGTGACGTCCCCAACGACATGAATTCTCGCTGCATTGACTTATTGCAATAGAAATATCCATCTGAATGCTCTCCTGATATGGAATACCATTTCGCAATTCGTGTAGATTACATGCCACCGTCACACACTTTGAGTCCACGGCAAACGCTTACATTCTATCATCGAAATCCTCGGCAGCGTTCCATCTTTGGTCCTTTCTCTTCCTAGAGGTCCCCAAGAAGTTTCATCTCAGTGATGCACATAGAGCCTCTACACTCCCAAATTTTCGTAACAATGAGCCCCGCGCGTTCCGCCAGCGCATGTAGCTAGTCAGGTGTACGCTCCATTCCATTCATAACCGACATAATATTGAGGTCGTGCATGTTGTTATATATGTGGGCGACGCCGTAATTCACAGGGAGAGGCGCCGGAGCCGACTTGAGTTGTCCCGATTCTGCTGTCGAATGTAGGACATGGTCTGCGATCAGGATCCGCGATGTGGGGCCCATGGCGTCCTTGAGGTGCTTCAGGATGGTGACGCAGTTCTCATCTGACCAGATATGTCTGAAGGGGGTATATCAGCTGACGACAGAGACCTCGTCTCCCAAAACGTACAAGATGTACCGCAAGAGGTACGCCTCTGCTCCCCTGACGGGCTGGGCAGTAAAGAAGTCGTGGGGCATGAACTGGACGTGTCCCATCTGGACAGCTTCTGGTAATTCTTGTGACCACACGGCTGGTGCTTGTTGGAGTACGTGGTCGATGTCCTGCACAATGAATTTCGCGTTCGGAAGCTTCCTTGCAAGCTCAAGAGACATAGAACCTTCATGTAGTTGAGATAGATGTTTGATCGTATGAGGCAAAACGCACCTATGCCCCCTCCTACATCTACAATGGTGGTCCCGTCGAGAAGGTGAA